CGACCCACCGCGCCGCTCTGCCGCCGTGACAGACTTACACGATGCACGACGCTAATATCAACCTGCGTGTGCGACTGTCACACCTCAAGCACCGCGATAGTCTGCTGGGTTCAACCTTCAATAAGTTGCGCTAAAACTTTTTTTACTCAGTCATTGGAAACGAAACGTATCAAGCTTTATATTTTAATGATGGATCCTTTTTAACATTATCTAGTATATGTTAAAAAAAAAGCAATCTAAAGCATTGGGTGGCCGATCTTATCCAGAAAGGGCCGCTGTGTATGCAGGTTTTCGCTGCAACTCCCAAGTCAGATTACTGACTACTAGGCCTAATTGCCTGAGTTGTCCTCACACCTGACCTAAAGGTTATACCAAAAACCTGCATATGCACTGGCCCTTTGCGGATAAGATTAGCCGCCCCTGGTCTGAATGTTACATCCGCTGCTATTGCTTGGGCTCTGCTCTCCGACACAATCATCCTTCTCCTTGCTGTTAGACTCACTCATTAAACCTGTGGTGCATTTGTGAGAAATAAAACAAAAATAAGTGAATATTGAGCAAAAGTAATTGGTCTGTCGGCAGTGCTTAGTGTCTGCGGGCACAACTTATGGCTACACCACCAACCTATTTGACAAACTCTGGTAGATCATTTTTATTTGGCTACATGGTTAATTTTCATGCTGTACTTCATTGTCTTGGAAACCAGCCTCACTGATGTGTCAGTTGTCTTTGTGCCCATGGAATCTCACGTTTCTCGCAGTAACTTTTTAACTTTTCAATGCCGTTAATTGAATAATGGGTCCAATATAGATGGATGGATGGATGCAATTCCAAACCAACTGGCATACCTGGGTTACAGTGGGCCTATGTGTCATGGCCTTTGAGATTTGAGCTGGGGCTGCATCTGTTGGGGGGAGGGGCAGCATCTGTTGTTGAACCTGTTAATTATACCAGACTCCTCTCCTTCAAATGGGATAGTGCACTGTGGTCAGTTTAGGAGATACACCTGGTTATTAACTCAACATCCTGCTCCCCAACACAGCGAACCATGTGCGTGCAACTCAATACATAAAGCATGCAGACACGGTGAAGAGGTTGATACTCTGCGGCTAGTGCATTAGGATGACTGCTGAAACCTGATCCAAGTCAGTTTGGAGGTGGTGGGATTGTTGATGCCAGACATGGTGGGTTCGGCATCTCAGAAACGGCCACCTTCCTGGGCCATTACAGCGTCCACAGTTCACAGAAAATGGTTTGATGAACAAAAGCCAGCCAGTCGGCAGCAGGTCTGGCTGAAAACACCTTGTTAATGAGAGATGTCTGAGGAGAATGGCCCGACCCGTTAAAGCTAACAGGAAGGCTGCAAGTGCAGAAATAACAGCTCAGTACAGCAGTGGTGTGCAAAACAGCTCCTGCAAATAAAAAGCCCCTCCACCATCAGAGGGTTTCTGTGGGCAAAAGTGAGTCCTGTTTGGTACTAGCGTGAACTGAATAAAGCAGGGTTCTTCAACTCTGGACCTCGATTCCAAATCCACGCCGTGTTTTCAGTTCCCCCAGGTAGTTGTTTAATAATTACTGATTCTGATTGGTCAGAGGCTTCACACCTGACTGACAGGTAAAGGAAGGCTGGAAAACCAGCAGTGCTCGGACTTCGAGGACCGTGAGTTGAATAACCCTGGAATAAAGCCTCTGATGCATAATTCTGATCGTAATTGTCAATTCAGTAAATATAGACTTAATTGTTCGAACCTTCGAGTGTCGTTTGATAGTTTTCCCTCCTCTTTTTTGGAAGAGGTCCGGGTTTTCCTTGAGTGCCCAGTTCCCCCGACACAGACGGTCGATCCGATCGAAAGGATGCGCTTTTCCGTGCTCCGTATCGAGCTTCCCAACACTGTGCGGAAACCCGAGCAGGCGCTCTGCTCAGCACGCTGCAGCCTGTAATCCCCCATCCTCCTCCACACCTTAATCTCTTTAGCTGCTCATTCTCCTTTCAGCTAAAGGGCTCAGTGTTGGGAACCTGCCCATTCTCGGGCACTCGTCTCATCTTCTGGCCTTTTGATGACACCCAAAACACCCTTTTCTACATGTTAAAAGCATTTGAGGACACAGGTTAAGGACATGGGCTCTTAACCCAAAGGACGCTGATTTCAGGACGGGTCCTGCGAGTGATGCATCGATGGTGGTAATTTTGGCCGCTAATGATAAACGATATATTTTTATTTGATATCACAGATACCGATGATCAGCAAACCTCTGAGCTCCACCAATCTGTACTCAAGATGCCATGAATGTGTGTAGCAGCCACCTTGGTGGCCATAAGTGGAAATTAGTGGGAGAACATTTTAAAACAAATTTGAGGAAGCACTTCTTTACACAGCGTGTAGTTAGAGTATGGAATAGTCTTCCTGCTAGTGTAGCGGAAGCTAAAACCCTGGGTTCCTTTAATTCAGAGCTAGATAAGATTTTAACAACTCTGAGCTATTAGTTAAGTTCTCCCCAAAGGAGCTTGATGGACCAAATGGCCTCCTCTCGTTTGTAAATTTCTTATGTTCTTATGTTCTTATGTTCGTATAATGCAGACAGTGAGACGTCAGTGAAGCAGTGGTGACTTGGGAGAATTTAGCAAGGTCTTAAGTGGGCAATGAGCCAACGAAATCCCTCGTCCTCCAGTATGGAACATAGCTGATCGGCCAGTGCAGTCATCTCAATTATTTTAGAAGTGATGTCTTTAGCTCTAGTACGGCTAATGTTGAATATTGGCTGGTAATATTGACCAAGATTGACATATTGGACCGATGCAGGTGTCTTGATTTTTAGCCAATCAGCCAATACCGATATGATAACCGATATACTGTGTAGGTCCCACTGTTGGATCTGAGCTACACTAGTAAAATACCTCCCTGTATAAATAGATGGGCTTTACATTAGGAAGCCTGAAGCCCAGGAGGCGAGACATTCAGAAGAAATGCTCTCTCTGTGGTTGCCAGGAATCAGTATAGACCTAATAATAGTAAATGGATGAAGCAGATTTAGATGAAAACATGAGCTAAGCAACTGCATGCAAGTAATGCCAAATGTCCACATTTTACAGCCTGCTCACAGTCAGTTTGGCCCCTTGTGCCCTGGGCTGTGTGTGTATAGGCTGTATGTTCAAGTGGAGTTTGGCCGAATTTTTCCCTCTATCTTTGCATTAATTCTCTTTCCATTGCAATGGGGGTATTTGCTGTAGTCAGCTGCTTTACGTTTTTCTAGTTCTGTCTAAACGCTGCGGCAGGTGACCCTTGTGATGGTTCAGTCCGCCGAGGGGGCATTCGGAGTTGGTATGATAACCCGGACAGGTGCGTACCATTGTTTGAGGAGGGAGGGGTGGACATCAGTGTGGTCAACCTAAACTAAAGGAGCATGGGGGTCATTGTACAGAATTGAAGAACGGAGCAGAAATGACCAGTTTTATTTCTTATACAAATAAACCAAACCGACTTCGGCAGTGTTATTCTGGAGGACCGTTAATATAATGTCAAAATAGCAGGCTTACCTATGTTATTGTTCCAGATGCATTTTCCACCAAGCAGGCTGAATGCTGTAGCGGCCTGGTTGGTTATAAGGTGACATGCGAGCGCAGCAGGAGTACAGCTCTGTTTGTGCAATCCCAGCATGCCATGCTCAGCCGAGACAATTGTGTAGAAATTCCGCTCAGGGTAAAGTGATCAATACAGCTTTCGTTGAGGGGGAAGGGGGTGTTCAATAAAATCTCGGTACAGAGGAAGAAACCCTGCCCATTTTCAATACCCATTCATTTAGTCAGAATACAGTGCCTATACTTGGAAGCCCCGGGTGCGTGGGGGAGGGCATGGTGGATGGGAGCTCCAGAAAGGAAAAATGGTGGCTCTTTTCCAAACGAGAAAATAATCCCTGATGTAGACACACAAGGTGGGGTTGAGGGATGCTGAGGCGTGGTCTTGCGAAGGGAAAGCCCCCTGAATGGCTGTCCTGATGAGCCTTGGAGGGACTGGGAGGTACTGAAACGTCAGCTTACATAATGTTGGTATTTGCCTCAAGCTGATCTCCAAGGTGAGCTTTTCACATGCCTGATTCATGGTTTTCTGCTCCCAGCACCCATAGAAACTTTGGCCCCGACATGGTTTGCCGCCGACGTCATGGCATCCTAACCCCAAGGGTCCTCGGAGTGAGCCTCGTGTTCCCTCCGCGGCTCCGGCTGCCCGCGCAGCATGCGCCAGGCACCAGATGGCGTTTTACAGTCGCTGTCTGCGGCAGCCCACCAGGGCGTGGGGGACCTAATTGCCGGGCCGCGTCGGCGAGCTGCTCTTTGAGGAATGATTAAATGCACATCGCCGAGTCAGCGGGGAGGATGGCCACACGGCTTGCCCCTCATGATGTCATGCGACCCAAAGGCACCAGTTGTGATTGGTCAGGGGTGGAATGTCATTTGAGATGGAATGTAGGAGGCCACCAATCAGCTTTCAGGCAGTGGGAGAACAAGGAGCCTAATTCTGTTTTCCTTCACACACAAATTAACCAACATTACACACTCGCCAGATAAGCAACATCGACTTTAGTTTCAAAGACAACGTCGCTACTTCTGCTTCCCCTGTTTTTTGTGTAGAAAATGAACAGTAGGAGACTGAACCTCAGAAAATTGCCCCTATAGGAATTGGCATCTCTATGGAGGGTTCAGGGGTTGGGGGTCTAATTTCTGCTGCTACTGACACCTAATGGTAGTAAAAGGAATTTATCTCTTTTTTAACATTAGAATGTGATTGAATGTATTTCAGGATGTCAGCATCTGGTGTGATTGTACCCATGGGCATAAATAATGGGGGGATGGGGGGGGGATTGTAAACCCCCCCCCAATAATCAAAAACAGCCAATACAATTCCCTGGAGATCTCAACCCCCTCAATGCTCAACCCAAGGTTATGGCCTTGGTTGTACCAGTATCCTAACCTCCTCACTGCTCTACCCCCCCCCCCCCCCCCCCAGCTGAAGGACTACCCCAAGTGTTCTACTTCGGCCCATGTGGAAAGTACAATGCCATGGTTCTGGAGCTGCTGGGGCCGAGCCTGGAGGACCTGTTCGACCTGTGTGACCGCACCTTTTCCCTCAAGACCGTCCTCATGATCGCCGTCCAGCTGGTGAGTGGCTGCAGAGGCTTCGCGACGCGGTGCACCCACTGAGCGCTTCTGAACCGCGTCAGGCAGGAAGCTGCCCGCTTCTCAAGTGGTTACTAGGTAACGCCATCATGACTTGTTTTTAGCAGCGTAGGATGCGTACTGGCAACATGGCAACCCCTCCAGTAACAGTGCTGGGGCTTCTCTTAAGGATTGCACATGAAATCCATCAGCCATTGTTACATCCTGCGTGTGTGTGTGTGTGTGTGTGTGTGTGTGTGGGCTCCTCTCAGATCTCACGCATGGAGTATGTGCACTCCAAGAACCTCATCTACCGGGACGTGAAGCCAGAGAACTTCCTCATCGGCCGGCAGGGCAACAAGAAGGAACACATCATCCACATCATCGACTTCGGCCTGGCCAAGGAGTACATCGACCCTGAGACCAAAAAACACATCCCCTACCGGGAGCACAAGAGCCTCACCGGGACGGCGAGATACATGTCCATCAATACGCACCTGGGGAAAGGTTTGCATCCTACTTTCTGTCCGCTCCAGTCTTATCAATGGCCACTCACAGGTTGGTCGTTTGCAATTTGAAACCATGATCCATGTTTCTGGCTCACTGGGTTAGACCGCTATGATCGGAAGGTTGCCGGTTTGAATCCCAGACTTGGCAGAGTAATTTGACCAAGGCCCCTAACTCTCAGGTACTGCCCTTCTTTCTCAAAAAAAAAAAATCTGTTACTTTGGATAAAAGCTTTTGCTAAATTAATAAAATCTAATGTATTGTATGTAACAACTGTTAACTTTAGATGATTGAGCTAACATGGCTAGTCTGGTCAATTTATAAACACGGAATGTGCAACAATATATTCAGTTTGCAGACTCAGTAGGGGGTCAGTCAAAGCTGCATTCATTTTGTTCTTTTTGGGAATTTTGCGGATATCGTTAGCTGTAAATAATGTGGGGGGGGATTAGCTGTGATGTCGGGTTTAATATCGGGTCGCTCACCAGCGGCGCTTTCTGTTCCTCTGTTCCAGAGCAAAGCCGGCGAGATGACCTGGAGGCACTGGGTCACATGTTCATGTACTTCCTGCGGGGGAGTCTACCCTGGCAAGGGCTCAAGGTGCCTGAGCAGTGAGGGCGGGGCAGACCGGGGCGGGGCGGGGCCCTGAGAGCCATGTGCGGCAGAGTACTTTATTTGTACAAAAAGACCATGTCGGGTTCACAATGAAACTGGATAATGAAAAATTTTTTTAAATGGACGTATTTTTGAGTGGATTTTAATGAATTCTCCATATTTACATTAATGGCAGAACCTGGTGGTAAAACTTTATGATCAACTGTGATATGGGATACATTTTAAAATGGCAACATTTATTTGAAGTGCATATTTTGAAGTACATATATTTGAGTGCATAATTTTGTATGCAAATTAGTGTCATCAAATTGCAGCCGTGAAGCACAAGCATTAATTGTAGGGCTCAACTGGTCTTATCCAATCAGAACCCTCAAACACATGCATTCATTGTAGGCCTGATCTGAACTTATCCAATCAGAACCCTCAAGCACAGGTATTAATTATAGGCTTGAGCTGGTCTTATCCAGTCAGAAGTCTGGAGGCGTCATTGAAAGGTGGTGACTCTTGCTCTACTTCCTATACAGGCGGACACTCTGAAGGAGCGATACCAGAAAATTGGGGATACCAAACGCAACACTCCCATTGAGGTCCTCTGCGAGAACTTCCCGGGTATGGTCTCCTGTGACCTGTGGCATTCATGTTGCCCCAGCCCCCGGTGCGTAGTCAGGCCCCTCACCGACATCTCCGCACTGTTGTCATGCTCCTCTTCTGTCTGTGTTGCTATTTGCAGAGGAGATGGCTACCTACCTGCGCTATGTAAGGCGGCTCGACTTCTTTGAGAAGCCCGACTACGATTACCTGAGGACCTTGTTCATGGAGCTGTTTGAGAGGAAGGGATACACCTTCGACTACACTTACGATTGGGTCGGCAGGCAGATTGTGAGTGATGAGCAGCCGAGGCAGCCAATCACAGCGCCCCCTTCTCTGCTGGCTTGGTTATATGGAGCAGTTGGGTGAAGTCTTAGGGTGATGATACACAGGGCAGCTTTTTTTTTAGCTACATTGCCTGGCAACGGGCAACCAAGTGAGTTAGGGCAACTATTCAAGGCTATGGGCAGTTGGCAACAACCAATCAGAGAAATGCAAATATATTCCATATTCAGGTAGCTAACTATGTATCCCATCGAAAGCTTGCGTAGTGATGACGGCAGTTAGCAATTTGTTAAAAACAAAATTTGATGTCTAAATTACAGCCCAAGTGTTTACAATTGGACGTCTGTTGGCATTTTTAGCATTAAATGAGGCAAGTTCCCTGTTATGGGTTTACACATGACTAATTACTGGCGTAAGAAGATACACGTTTTTTTCACTCCATTGCTGCTGAGAGACTGCCATTTTTGTTGAATTTTTCTGAAGCTTCAAGTTTGTCACATGATCGGTTGCTAGCATTCTGATTGGAAGATCACAGAAAGTTTCCAGATAGAAATCTGTTGCCCATGCTCAGTGCAAAAGTGCCCGAGCAATGTCACCTGGCAATAGTGCTGAAAAAGTTGCACCGTGTATCTTCACCCTTAGAGGCTGTAAGAGGTTATCTAGATGTTATTTGCAGGACATTTGCCCCTCTTTCAGAACGCGATTGCCAGTCACCTCTATATGCTATGTCTACTGCTAGCATTGAAGCCACTGAGAGGGGATTCTGAAAGAATCCCATGCTGTGTCAGTTACCCCCCCCATGTGTCTGTCCTCCCCACTACTAGCCTACGCCGGTGGGGTCCTCTCACATGGACTCTGGGGCATCAGCCATCACGAGGGACAGTCACACCCACAGAGAGCGGCCCTCTCAGCACCAGCCCCAGCGGCATCAGGTAGGCATCTCTGTGGGTGAGGCTGGGCAAGGGCAGGGGCAAGGGCAGGGGCAGGGGCAGGGGCAGGGGCAGGGGCAAGGGCAAGGGCAGGGGCAAGGGCAAAGGCAAGGGCAGGGGCAGGGGCCCTTTGTGACCTTTACAATGATGTTATGACCTATACAAGCTCCTTTCTATACTGACTGCAGTGTTTGCAGATCACAAACAGGTGTAAAGATGGGAATGGCGATAGGAGAACAGGTCAACAATCATTTGCACAATGAAAGGCATTTATTGTTTATTGACTGTGCAAAGGTATGTTCCTTTTTAATAATGGATCCCCACCTGCTCAGGCAGTACTGGTAAATGTGATTCTGTGTGTTTAGAGCAGAGAGCAAGGAGCCAGTTCCTTCTGAGCTGCTCTGCTCTGTGGGAGTTTGGGGGACATTTAAGTTCTCGGAGGACACCGTCACCCACTCCAGCCAACACGGCCGGGTCATTGCAATAAAATACAGTGTTTGTTTTTTTGTGTATAGCAATTGACATCTTAACTTTTTTTTAGTTAAGTCAACTAAGTTTCTATGATTTAATGATTTAAAAAAAAAAAGAAACTATTTTCCCTAAATAGGCAGCCAAAAATCTCATTACTGTAACACTTTTAAGGTGAAACAAACAATCAATTTGTATGATAAGATGTATTTTTTTGTTAGTTTTATTCTTCTCATCTACGTAGCTCTTGCCCTGGATTTGGTGAAATACTTTTGTCTACAGAAATAGATGGTAAAATAATGAAACTGATATTATGGTTGTGTTATTAGAGAAAATTGATATGTTACAGTAATGAGTTTGTGAGAAAGTCCTGGCCCCTCTCCTTAAATGATGTTTAAGGTGCTTCAGCCTCATTTTCTTTAGCTTTGTCCCCATCACAAGTGAGTATGCAGGTTCCCCGCCTCCTGCCGCCCTCCTGGCTCTTTTCCACAGACCGTGTCTTTAGGTGTCTCACGAACTTCTCGAGATGAGCAGTCGTTACCCACAAAGCTGGCCGTGCGGTTAGGCTGCGATTAGACGAGATTCCCAGCACATGGCCACGACGCTTCAGCTTCCTCGCAGTGGTGCCATACCAGCGCTGTGCAATCTTGCTTAATCCCTCGCGTTGCCGTCTGCTTAAATCCAGCTAGTTTCTGTCCCATTATGCTGGAAAAAAAAAACAGGTTTCAGTCCTACCTCTATGTGTTCAGGAGGGTGGAGAAATGAAACTCACTGTTAAAACAAATGGACCATGACACAGGAAATGACCCTTTTATTTTGTATTTAGTCTCCTTTTTATGAATATTATGAATGCTTCCAGCAGAATGGAGAACATTTGCCCCCTTCTCAGGGGCCCATGAGACCCCCTCCTGGGTCCCCATGGTCATAGGTGGAGAACAAGAGGAATTTCACGAACATCACTCAGTCAGACGTCACATGATCGCTCCAGTCATGTTGGGCTCATGGCCTGCCCTGTTAGCATGACCCTAGCTAGAACAGGCTAGCACTGTGTCTGCAGTCCTGTTTGTGCTGGTGATTTTTTTTGTTTGTTTCTGTTCCTGGTTGTGTTTCAGTTTGACGGATCTGCTTCGCTGGACGCTAACTGCTTTCAGTTTGTCGGTTCACCTTGAGATACTGATGCTCTTTTTCCCCCACTTTGTTTTCGGCCCTTTTATCCCCATTTGTCTGCACTGCATGACTCTGGGTTTGCACAACCCCAACCACGCCCCTCCCCTGCTTGTGACCCCCCCCCCCCCCCCCCCCCCCCCCCCCCCCCCCCCAAGCAGACGACCGCTTCTGACCGCAGAGGAGCATGGGAAGCTCAGCCAAATCGCCAGACAAACTCATCCTATCTGAGCCACTTGGCAGCAGACAGGCATGGTGGATCAGTGCAGGTATTACGTGGCTCCGTCTCCCTCCGGTTGGCTCAGGGAATGAAGGGTCTCACACGCAAAGCATTATGGGTAAAAGCACCATTTTCGTTGGTTGCTGATCAGTGCCCTTTCAGAGAGTTCATATTGGGAGCCAGAAGATGTAGCTCCTGGGGTGAAGGGTGGGATTGTTGATGTTTTCATAAAGCTCAGTTTTTAAGGGGAGGTGGGTTACCCTCTAGGTAATTGTAGCCCAGTAGTGTTAGGATAACTGCCTTAATGTGTCTAAACCTTCCCTTTCTCCCAGGTGGTCAGCTCAACCAATGGGGAGCTGAATGCAGATGACCCACTGGCGGCCCACTCCAATGCACCAATCACAGCCCAGGCCGAAGTAGAAGTGGTGGATGAGGCCAAGTATGTTTCCAGAACCACCATTGCTCTGCAGCCTGAAAACGTCCTGTTGTGTTCCTTTCGCTTATTTTATCTGTTTGTGCGTGGTGGTGTAACCCATCTCGCCATCCAACCCAGTACTTTATGCCTACGCACAGTTTGTCCCTGTGTGCCATCCATACTGCTCCACCGTAAGGTTTAGGTGCTCTGTGGGTGGTTAACTATTTGGCCATTCTGATTTCATCCAGCCACCTTCCCATGACTGATCACAGATGTGCTCTCCTTGGTGTCACCTTATTGGACACGAGGTCTTCATCAGCCAGAATTTTTTAGTCTAGGTCCTTCATTTTTTGGGGTAATTAGTTCATGAACTGGGATGAGCTGAAGGCCGCTATCTTCTGACTCCAATGATGTTCTTATGAAAAAGACCCCCTTCTCTTTTTCCTTTGGTTTCCTAGCAAATTCATTTACTCCTCTGCCTTTGTTCACCTGGTCGGGTTTCCCAATTCAGTTTTTCGTCGGATATTCCTTTTGTTCTCAGGTCCTTTGATTTCTTGACTGTAGATCTGGTGCCGTTTCACTGCGCTGAATAAAGGCCTTTCAGCAACAGAGGAATTGACTTACAGGGGCACTGTTCATGTCCGGCTCCACAATAATGGAGTTTAAATCTCAGAAGATCAGATCTGACTAGGGAGTAGGGGTCTGTTTTATTCTAGTCTGTCTCGTGCTAATGTGAGGGAACGTGAAGTTTCACAAGCCAACCATGGGTTAATTTTAACTTCAAAATGACACTGTTGTTTTTGTTTTTAAAATGTTTTGGAAGGATCTGTTTACACCCACACAAGTGCAGGCAATATGTTTGTTGTTTTTCCTGGCATTAGATTTTATGGAGTTAGATTTGAAGGTTCTCTAGCTTGATAGCATGTATGCATTACGTTACGTTGTAACCTTGAGTTATTTCTGAAATGCCTTTGTCAGTCTGGATTTATCATCCATAGGTTTGTCAGGTACGCTGTTGTGACTCACTGACTTCCATCAGGAGTCGGCATTTACTGTCATTATTTGGGTTTAGTTGTGGTGAGAAAAATTGTTCTCAGACCATGCCACGATGGTGCCAGAGTCATAATGGTATTCTGAGTTTTTACACTGACGAGGTGGATCTAGGATGTGTAGCGACGTGATCAGATTATTTGATCTTCACTAACGATCCTCCAGTCCATGATGATACAGTCTTTGTTGTAAATCATATGTTCTCCATATGTATGTTAGGTGGTGAATTTTGACATGGGATGTGTCCAGATAATGCAGAAAGAGCTTCATTTGTAAATGAAAATTCATAATATTTAATGGAGTTACGATTTATCTGCTTAGGGGAAAGTGATGTGGCAGCGGTTAGTGCCATTTGTGTGGGTGCATGGGCTCCCTCTGGTGGAGGCATCCTGGAATGACCGCTGGAGGTCATCATGTGGGCATACTGAGGATTTGTGGCTGCCCCACGTCTGCTTGCAAACTCCAATTACCTTATGTCTAGAATTAGAAACAAATATTTTTAAATGGTACATGCCCTTGGATATGGGAAATACCAACACATGCAGACTGGTGATTGGTTAAGAGTCCCACTCCAGTGGAGATTGAAGGTGGATTTTTGCTTTTCCTGCATGCCTGATGGACAGAAATCAAGTGCTCTGCAGGCATGTTCTATGAGACCGGGCCGAGGTCTGAGCACTGCCCCCCTGGAGAACCCCACATCCCCCCACCTCCTGGTGCATGTTCACCCAGCATGAAGTCCCTCCAGCACCTCCCACCCCACTGCAACTCCCCCATGCCCCCATCTCACCTCTGTGTATTAATCTCTGTCTTTTCTCTTTACACTCTCTGTAGCTGCGTGAAAATGCTGAACCTGTGGTGAGTGCCTCTTTCTCCAGTCCACATCGACCCGTAGGGACGTGGACCAGACTAGACGCAGGCTGACCCAGTGGGCCCGGCCCCTAGGATCAGAGGGACGGCAGCTTGGGGGTGGACAGGGACTGCTGGGGGCTGCTCTGCCGCTGGTCAGAGGCAGAGGCCCAGCCAGTAGAAGCCTGGCATCATGAGACCCAAGGGCCTCGGGTTCGAATCTGGGTTTTCAGAGGTGATAAGTGCCAGTTGCTTGTCATCTTTGAAAATCGTGGCAGAACCAGAAATGCATTTTAATCAAATTTAAAAAAATTTATGAACAATTTAACACACATTGTCAACTGGAAATCATTCCATTCAACCTGTGTGATCAATGTACAGTATTATGCTTTTGAGATTTGCTACCAGTATAGGAGTACCGGGTTCCCAGCAGTGCCAGTACACTACCCACTGTCCCCAAAAAGAGGCCCCTGTCTGACAAATAAAAACAATGAGGAAAAACAGCCACGATGTTCAATGAGTGAACCGGCTGTAGTACATTAAGGGATATGCCTTTAAACTCTGAATGGGCAGATCCAGGCATCTGAACAGCAGTTTATCTGTGTCATAAGAGTGAATAATCTTATTTATCATTCTATATCTACCGCAAACAGGAATGAATTAAATATGTTTACGCATGTGTGTGCCTACCCTTAATTGATCACCCTACTTAAATAACTATTCAGCTCAGAGGGTTACGACACTGTGCCTGCGATCGCAAGGTTGAATCCCTTAGTTTACCGATCGGGCCCTTGAGCAAGACCCCTAACCTCCAATCGCTCCGGGGACTGTCTGACCCCGTTCTCTCAAAAACAAATGATGGCGCTTTCGGATAAGTAAGTGAGATGTCAGTAAATCTTGTCCATATGTATATTCCAGAATATATTCCCCACAAAGTGCGAGCAAGGAAACGGGTCAGGCGCAAATGTCACCCAAGTGCCCCCACCAACAGCCATTGCCCCCATAAGAGGGTGAGGGGAGTGGAGTCACACGCTTGGATGCCTGGGTGTCCTCATTGGAGCCTTCCAGAGAGCTCACCAACAGCTTCCGGCCCCTAAGCTCCTGAAATCGCCTAACCAGTGCTACGCGTTTGCTGTGTGTCACCGTCTGGGGCCTCTCCCGACCCCGTGCACGCTGTCGATCCATCCCCGTCTGTCTGCCCACCAGTCGTAACTGTCTTGCTGTTGTCACCTGCACTCTTTCCGCTGTCACGCCGTGTGCCGTGCTGGGAGATGGTTCAGGAAACGGCCATTTACCACCAATGGCTGCTAGACAGCTGAATGCTGTTGTAGCTCACTTAAGGTTATGCACATCAGAGGTAGAGATTTCAGGTTTGGTTGAAACAAAATCTTAGCCAGGATTTGTACTCTCTGGACCTGAAATCTCCACCTCTGATGCACATATAATGGTTGGGAACTTCGAGGGTTTCACTGGTAATGTGGGATTGGCCTGCTTCTCTGGTGGGTTATGCTGTTTGGCATCTCGCCATAAGGTGTTTGGCTTTAATCCCAGATGGGCCATACTGTAGCTGTTGTACCTTTAAGGGAGGTACACTCTCTTGCTTCATTGAATATCTAGTTACATAAATGGTTAGAGTGAGAATTCCCTGAGAATCTGTACAGTGTGTCACACGTATAATTACACTAAACAGTGTAAACTGTTTACTGTTTATGATTTGACTGGCATGCTTTGCTTTCTCATTAATTAGGATTTTTAATTCAAAAGTAATCTGAATTCAGTATTATGAATTTTAATATGTTCAAATTTTTATTGTTATCTTAAAAACAAAGATCATTGAAAAATGAAGTATTATGATATAGTGACAAAGTACAAGGGAATACCTATTTGAATCTGGTTTAACTTGTCAGCTTCTTACTTGGCTTCAGGCGGAGCGCTCTGCCGCGAGCTGGTTCTCGTCACGTCACGTTGACAAGGCCTGTGTCTGTGTGGGAGTCCCAGCCCTAAAAATACACTCCCCGTGCAGCTTACACGAGGAGGCGCCTCATCTGCGAGGCCCACCAAGCCAGGGCTGCATCCTCAGAGTAACGGCTCCCCATTTCTCCCCCTCCCCTCCTCCCCACCTCCCTACCTAGGTGTTGCTGCTTCTTTAAGAGGAAACGGAAGAAGAATGCCCCAAGACACAAATGACCCCCGGCCCCCCCCCACCCCAGCCGTTCCACAGGCTTCCCTTTGGTTGTTTTTGGTTTCTGAGGAGCTTGAATAATAGAACTGAGGCAGAGATGAAGAACATGGGAGGATGCTTCTGATTGGTTGCTGCAGTAGGAGCAACCCCCCCCCCCCAATCCCAACCTGCTAAATGGTGGTCCTCCAAGCCTTGGAACCAGACAACCATGTTGAGAGACACAGCCCTCCAAGTGGAACAGAGAGGAGCTGGGAGATCCTCCAGCAGCAATGGGCGTCTCGACATTCCCTCCCCAACAACCCTACCCACGTGAAATGCGCAACATACTCTGCTAACTGGCCCTCTCCTTACCAGAGACCAGTGACAGCACAGTTCCTCCAGCTTTTACTGGGGCAGGCCTCCTGGTCACCTTCCACTGCTGTAAAGCCAGAAACAACGCAGCATTCAGCCTGAGCGGCCCTGGGTCTCACAGAAGGGCCTCTCGCTCCTGCATCATTTCGGCTCTGCCTTTCGCTGCGCTGGTTCAGGACTCTCTCACTCACAGTGCCAAGGCACAGCCTGATCTGTCCTTTTGCCCTTCATGGCTGCCTTTTGTCCAGCAACATAAGATGGAAATGTCCACCTTTAGATGCTGCTGCTCACTCGTGCTTTGCTGTTGGCCTCGGGTGGCACCAAGGGGTGACGGCTTACCTGGACCGAGTCTCTCCTGCAGGACTGGCAGCGATGCTCTTTGCTTCTCCCGTTTGTCGCAGCTAGCTTTGTGAGGACAGAACGACGCTCTGCCAAGGCCTGTGTCAATGTCTTCAGTCTTGTGAAGACTGGAGCCATGGCTACAACTGAGGATTTGGAGAGTATCTATCCTGTTCTTGTTGCCTTTCACCAACAGCAGCCCCTGACCTCTTAGTTCTAGCAAGAAGGCAGTAGAGGACCAATGCCATGGCAGGTGTGTCCTGTAGGGCGGGCGACACAGAATGAACAGCTGGAGACAAATGGAGAGCAAAGAAGGTACTTGCAGATTTTTTTAAAAAACGCCATCCTGTTCATTGTTGGCCTATTCCCACTGGGACACTATTCAGCTGCTTATTGACAAACACCTTTTTATGCTCCTGCCCTGACCTGCTGAATCCTGCATTTTGACAGATGTATCGCTCCTAGGAACAGAACCACCCCTTTTGTCCTGCATAGGACAGGACTTCGTGTCCTTGAATGTTGAGTGTTGTCGTGGCATCGTCAACCAGGTTCGAAAGGAGCCATTCCCCCCGCACAAACACCAGCAGCACATTACGGCCTGCATTTAAAACAGAAATTCAACAGACATTTGCCCAACTGAGTGCCCCAAGGCAGAAACTCCTTCAGTGAAGGATCAGCCCTCACTGGGAAGGCTTACCTCCCTTTTTGACAGTTGATTGAGGATGTTGAAGGACGCTGTGTGTGGTTTATCAAGGTCCGTATTATCAGCTGAAGGTGGTGTACATTGTAATAGGTCAGTTAAAATACTGGAGACCCATGGCATTGTTCTGTGGGAAAGTTTCTCATGGGAGATTGTTCTTCTCGGGTTTTAGGAAAATGGAATTTAGACTTCCAAACCCTTAAGGTAAGCTTGACTTCTCCAGTGCCATTCCTTGGCCTTATTGATGCTTTAGGCTGGTTCATTCGATGCTCTGGGTAGTATAACAGGGATTGTTGGTGAGCATGTCCTGGGCTCTCCTGATTTGTATCCGCTTATCGAATCAGTGATCTACACTCCTGAGAAGGCATCATAAGCTGGCTGAGTGTTTGTGGTGGCTGAGGGAGGCAAGGAGCAAGGGGACTGGGCTCTCTCCCAAAAACACAGGCCACATCCTGCAAACTCTACTGTCAGATGCCTTAACCCGTCCATCCCTTTGCAAAATCCAGCAGGGGGCGCTGGCTCATGGCACCAGCCCCCACCTAGACCTCCTCAGCTCTCAAACATTTAAAGCCAACACCACCAAATCTAGCGTGTCCCCAACATTAAAGGGGAAATTCCTTTTTTTTTTTTTTTTTGCAGAACTTTTTTGATTGATTCCTCCTGTTTTCTTTTCTAAGTTGCCTTTTATATTTTTTTTCCCCCGTTCTGTTGCCATGCTACAACTCTTCAGATTCCAAGGGGCTGTAGACGAGCAAATGTGGGAAAATCCTTTTTTTATTCCGTATTTGCCCTCCCTCCGAAAGAGGATTTGTTTTGGATGAAGGTAAAATTAGTTAAAAGTGATAATGTTGCCTTTTTCAGTCAATGCCTGCGTGCAGCATTAATTGGGGTTGTCATATTTCATTTAATTCCCTTTTACTAAATGTGAATTGAAAAATGTAAATACTTTTTTATGCCATGCTTTGATCTGGGAAGTGCAGGAAACAGCTGGTGGATCTGATTGCACTGTGTTCCCCGTTTACCTGCCGTGCGATCCTGGTCTTGTGCTACACTGTACCTGTACTCATGAAATGTGAGTCGTCACTTGTATCTCTCAGAGCAACAGAAGATGAAAACAAAAGACTAATGGACAATGGGTTTTCTATTATTTATGGAATTTTATCAATGTACCAAAATCCTCCTTTTTGTTTGCATTCCATCACAATCCTTAAGTGCGTGTGTGTGTGCATGTGTGTAACTTTTGTTTATACTTTTTATTATTTATACTTTAGCTGAATATACAAAATAAACACTAGTCTATTAATTCACCTCCCGGTGGGGTGCTGGAATTGGTGTCCTGTTTTAGTTGTTGTCTACAACTACTGAACTACTGAACCTTGGCTACCACCAGCGACTTCGAACAACCCTGATTTCCCAAAAGTCTTTGGGCAAGAGAACCACTTTTCTGTATGTACCTGTGTGTCATTGTCTTTTTTCTAGTTTGTCTCCGTTGCTCTATGCCGCAGTGTAAATTATTATATCAAATGTACTTGAATCTTAAAACCAGGGGATGTCTACTCCTCTCATATGCCATTATTTCTGAGAGGCTTGTGGGGGGCAGATGAATTTTCTATGTAAATAAGACGCTTTGTGGGTATATAGAAATATAGTATTCCCCAGTGGAGATGCATGACTAGCCCCTAGCTAAGTTTGTATAAAAGGCTGACTTTCGCTTGGACCGTTGTCACGTTTTGTTGTTGTGGTCGTTTAGTTGGTTCCGGGTTCGCCGTCCGTGAGGGGCTGTGAATAGACGGAACCCTTTGGAAGGTGGTGGCCTGTTATGATCCGACACTTGTAACCCCAGCTCCAGGTGGCTTCATGCCTCAGAACGCGAAGATCTTCAGAGCTGCTGTTAACATGAATTTGCTTGTCTTCTCATCTTCCCCGTGGTTGTATGCGTCGCTCGGGTTTTGTGTCCTTGTTTTTGGGCTTGCTGGGCGGGCGATCTGCCTCTACCCGCTTCACTCCAGCTGAGCTCTGCTCGGTGTGTTTTGTAACGTGGCGTCAAAGGGTGAGGCGACTGTAGACTCCAGTGACCCCAAGTTGATTTTGCCATGAACCGCAAAGCTCTGATACCGACCGGATGTTTCATCCTGCCACTTCTGAAGGCAGACTAGGAAAGCAGCCCTACCACCAGGAAAAGCCCCCTCCATCCACTGTGCCAAGGTGCTGCGCTCTTGGCATGAACATTCCATTTTGCACTCCGTAGGTCAAACTCCATTTGGCGTCCAGCTTGCATGAGGAATGATTTACTACAAGGTGTTGTGCAGAGATGGTGTGTTTAAAACCTCACTTCTTTGCAAATTGAGCCCCCTGACATCAATTAAGACGACACAGCTTTGTCGTAACTTGAATGATCAGAGTCTCAGGATAGGTGTTGAATCCAGACCGTGTTGTATTTTCTCTCTCGCTTCCTAAATTACATGTTCGACCTGCCATTTGAAACAATGTGGTTGTAGCTACCTGTGACTATGATGTCAGAGTAGGGTGTGGCTTACTTTCCCGCTCTTTTGATATTGTGTTACCGTGGCTACCCTAGCTTTCTCTGTTTGTTTTGCCAGCATCTCCAGCACACTTTGCTTCCAAAGGTCGCACAGATTTTCGTTGCCCTTGTTCTGGTGATCAGAACCTACTTAAATGCTATTAGTTTTCTCCATCCTTGTTCTGCCCGTCATGCGTATCTTGGCATGAAGATGACTTTTTGTTCCCCTGTGGTTGACTGATACTTTGTAGCTTCTGTACAGACCTGCTCTATTCATTAATCAGGCCTGTCATATAAGCTTTGCCGCATTCACACACCCACCTCACCAGGCAGCCCTGCTGCAGCCTCTCCAGGTTCTTTTAGAAGCTTCCTAGGCCAGCACCCCGGTCGGCTCCCTTTGGACCAGACTGGCCCCGCTGGCTGGTGTCGCGTTCCCGCGGTTCAGTGGCACGCATTAAGACCTCAGATCTCAAGCCGATGATGTTTGTTCCTCGTGCACTGTTTAAGTTGCTATGCTGTACAATTTGTGTTAGGACGGGCGGGGGGGCGGGGGGGAACGGGGACGAAATGACTGCAATATTAAAATTATTTTCAACTGTAAATTGTACAAAGGTGATTGTTATATTTTTTGTTAAAGGTGGACTCAGAAAACCTTTTGGTTTTTTCTTTTTTTTCCTTTTATCAAAACTCTGGAAAGCAAACCTGTACAGTACCGAAAGAGTATTTCTTCTCTTATAGCAACGGTTTCGATGCTACGGCTAAAAGTTAAGTCTTAAAACTGTAATATGAATATTATTGTGTTGAAATATGAATGTTACTTCAAATGTATATGAATGGTTTAACCTGGTTAAGGGCTTCAGATGTGAAGGACCCGTTTTTGTCTGATTTTTATTTTAATATTATTCCTTCTATTACTGTTAAGTTGCAGAAAGAATAAGGTCGCAATACTTCGTCTTAAACACCTGTTTTTTCCAAAGGCTTCATGTGAAACTTGTCACGTGACCTTTCAAGACTACACTTTTTATTCCTGCCACATGTAAAGGGAAACTCAAGTTTGCACCATTTTTTTAATGTAAAAATAAAAATCTCTTAACCTTTCACCTGTCTGGCTTTTTTCATTTTATACAGGATGATCTGACACTAAGTTTATATTGAATAATAGGCAGGTGAGGTTAGAAAACCAAGTAAACTAATGGCAAGAGTTCTTATGTTCCATGTCTTATTTTAAATGTTACCCTGTGATGATGGATGGATGGAACCTAATATGAAAACAGTTACTACTTTGATAATCATTCTTGAAATTAAATTAATGCTATAAAATTTACAAGAAAAATGGAAACATCTTTTCAATTTGGGTGCAGTTATGTCCCTCATTATTAGTTACTAGCACAAATGTGTTGTAATGCAAATGAAGATATAAATAATTAGGAATATAAAGTAGGGTTTTCACAGGAAATCTGAGCAGTTCACCTTTAGGATTCGTGAATCATTGAACAGGACTCAAAAAAGCAGGATCTTGCCACTAAGTGAAGCTGCACCTATTCAGAAATGTAGGACGTCCATAGTGAAGTATGCATGACAGCTAAAAGCTGACATAAATTCAGCCAAAAAAACACGGTAAGCACTGAACATTCATATAAATCGTGTCTTTTGAGGGCTAAAAACAGCAGTGGTAAGGATCAGCTCCCACACAGAAGGTCAGTTCAACTAGGTCTACTACACTAGTGACTCAGAATTAACAAGCAACATAATCCCTGTCTTGTTCTGATTAATTCATTGTCACCTCTGTTTCATTGTCTGTGCTTAAATGAGATCAGATAAGCGTCTCCACAGGCATAATAGTTATAATTACCGTCTCCTAGTTACTGAGAAAAAAAAACAAAATTCCATTTCTGAGGTATTTTCAAGCTTCTGTTGTGACAAGTAACAGCATCAAGTTGTCTGTGAATACTATGATCCACTAAGGCAGAGTGAGGATGGGTCTGCAAAAGCTGGACTTTCCCTAAATCTTTCTGGGGGTGAAAGTATCAAGAGACTATTCCAACATTTCAGGGCTGTCCACTGAGTACACTTTCTCATGCTCAGTATATCAATTGCCACACTGCATTGTGGGCGTTGTAGATTGTTTCAGAGTGTTATATAACAGGATGGAACACCTGAGGGTTCTCAAACTGGCATGATGCCTCCAAGTGCTAGAAAGCCCATCGCAGCAACACAGAACCAAAAGAAAACTAAACATCTTGGCTGGGAAGCTTGGTTCTGTTATGGGGATAACCCTAAGTCAGCTGTAGGTAATCCCCGAAAAAAGGGTGATGACAACGTACCGATCATCATTACCAGTGCGGGCCATTAATCATAAGCACCTTCAGCCAGTGGCCCATCAAACCACACAAGATCCAAGTACTGCTATGGCTTTGGCTGCTGGATTATGGCAAAATCATAATCACGATTATTTTGGTCAGAACTCTGCCATAAGAATACTGAAAGCAGTAAGATAAGCTTACAGTATAATACATATCTATTACATATTCATTATACTGTAACCTTGTCTTACTGTTGCTGGCTGGCATTGGCACAGCAGGTCCACCGGGGCGCCGACCCTTCCTCTTTCACGCCTTAGGGAGACCAGCTGCCCTCTCCAGAGGGTCCTACTGACCGGGGAACACTACACCCAATGACTCCCACAGCCAGGGTACTCTATCTGGGGACAGCCTCCGTGCCATGCAGTTGGGGACTGTTGGCAGAGCCGGAATGTCATCAGGCTCTGGCAGCATGGGTCCCCCCGGCCTCGGCCCTTCTTGGCCACCAGGCTGGTTCTCCAGCAGGGCCTCCTACTCGCAGGGTTGGGGAGCCCTGCACAGCCACTCCTACCCTGCGCGGGTAGCCTCTCGCAGGTGTGCCAAGCAGGTCTCCTCCTCCCGCCGCTCCTTGCGGTCCCGCACCATGGCCTCCGCCTCCTGCAGCTCACAGCGCTTCTGGGCTAGCTGCCTTCCTTGCTTGATGATGTTGCCATCACTGACGTGGGTCCAGGGGACTGGCAGGAACGGCTACAGGGCACGCAGTGTGGGTCTGGTGCATCTTGGATGGTGCAGAGGGTTCCTTCCTTACTCCGGCGTCCCCTGCTCATTTGCCAGCGGCGCTGGTGCAGGCTTGCGGGCAGTGGCGTGCCTGGTGCCCTTCTCTCCTGCAGCACCAAGTCGCCCTTGTCTGAGAAGCACCACTGCACCAGTGCTTAAGTGCCGCCTCAAGCTCCACCACACTGGAGCAGGCTTGTCAGGTCAAAGACCCCCTGCTCCAGCAGCACCAGTGGGGTTGTTTCTGGGATCCCATTTCTGACACCAACGTGACACCAGGCACGACAAGCCACTGCAAGAGCTGCAAAAGACACAGAGACTTGCTTGGCAAAAAATACACACTCTATTATTGCAGTCCTCATAAAGACTATAACAGCCATCCCACAAGTACTGAAACTAAATACAGAAGTGGAAACACAAGCTGATCAGACGATTAACTGTAAGGTACACAGACGGTGGGAGAGTTATAAACACTAAGGACGCGCCAGAATCGGACAGGGTACACACAGGACACAGGCTATAATCGGGAAATACAACTCCTACCCACGAGCATGCCGGGAATGCTAATCCCGCCGGCGCTACAATATAGTAACCAGTAATCCTACTCATTCACTCATTTATTTACTTGTTTGTTGATGTCCATTGGGTTGCGTTCCGTGCTATGCTCCCGCATACTGTTACCCTGTTAGTTGTATTTCTGCTGCTCACTCAAGCCTACATATTGTTAACGATCGAGCGTCCCATTGGTGAGTAGCACCAATTACTAATTCGAGAGCACGAAATACCACGAGATATATATTTTTTTCTACTATGATCCTTAGGGGGCTCCGTAGTTAACAATACTCTGTTGCATTAAAATCATTCAATGCTATCATAAATAATTTTAAGGAATACTGTACTAATGCAACTCTATTTTTTTGCTGAGAAATATTTTTTTTGTACCATGACATCTAACGGGCTCCGTGGTAAACTTAAGCTCCTGCTAAATAACGTGCAACATTAAAGTTCATGTAATACTACACCTGGTGGACAAGTGCATTAAGTTTAGTTAAGGGGGCGTATGTACTGAGAGTTCTTATGTAAACGGTAGGTACGTGTTGCTCTGGATGTTGGTAGGAACTTAAGAGATGTCTAGGTAAATAGTGTTTAGGGCTGTAGATTAAGTACATGTATAAGTATTTAATACGGTGCCTAGGTCAGCAATGCAGTTGCTGCTAAAGGGCTTTAATACGCGCCCCGGGACGGCTTACTGCAAGGGACAGCCTACCTCGCGCTCGGAGGCGCAGCCTCGTGACGGCTCTGTCTCGAGCCGTCCAGTAGGACGCGGCGTTCTCTGCTACCTCTCCTTCCACATTTTTCTCTCTTTTTTCTTCTAAACAACACTCGGCAGCGTATGGAGCTTTGGTGTGTCTGATTTTTACAGGATCTTGCTTAAGTGACGGTCGCATTTTGAGGAACGCCAACACTTTTTGCGTTGAAGGTAAGCTAAGGGTTTAGTGGTGTGTTAAGCGCTAACGCGGGTAACGCGGTGGAAGAAAAGTCCTTAAAATGTCACATTGGGCTCTAAGCCGCGGAACTAAAATAGTTCAATAATCAAGTTAGATAATACAATTACTGAATGAAACACCATGTACTTCGGATGAACCTAAGCGTTTAAAAATGTACTCGATAAAGTAACAGCCTTACACTGTACGAAAGGACAATATTAAATAAGAAGACTACAAACTGGGGTTATAAAGGCGGTAGGTATAAACCCCGGAAAGATATTGTTACATTTTATCGAGCAGTTAACTGATTTAAAATATAGGAAGAGGTTGGAAAAAGTGGACACCTGTAGTCTCGATATGACTCTGGTAATAGTAGTATGTCATATATTACAGTATCAGTTTCACATTTTAGTGGTAGTGTTTTTGAACAATTGGGCACAAACGAATCAGTGCACATATTGTCCAGATCGCGTGATACAAGAAACGTTCCAAAATCTTAATTTGCATATTGGGTTTGTTGGTGTCTGCTACGCTTTGACGTTAGTTGCCTCTTGCTGAGGATGCGAGGATGAAGTTATTTAGTCTCTTGCTTTGGGATTCTGGTCGTCCTCTGCTATCTTCGTTCTGCCTGTGTTCTGTCGATATATGCTGCCTTGTCGAAAAATGCTACCGTAGTGCTAATAGATAGCACTAACCCTAACTCTTACCCTAACCCTAACCCCCAAAAAACCCCTAAAACCCTTACCTTAACCCTAACCCCTAAAACCTAACCCTAATCCCAAGACGGTGGAACTGCACATGCGCAGAAACGCTCGATAGCACGTCTCGATAGGTAGTATTTTATGACAGAACACCTGCAGAACACGCCATAGTCACAGGCAGTAGCAGACTCAGACATACCGAATAGGTGGAAGCAACGTACTGGCTCTTAACGTCACCTCGCACTCCAGCCGGGGAGAGCATGTTATAGTAATCTGAAGATAGGACAGGTTAATAGTCAGTTCTGTGACCATTTATGTAAAGCATCCTTTATTACAGCAGTGCCCAATCTTATCCGCAAAGGGCCGGTGTGTATGCGGGTTTTTGGGATAACCTGTTGGTCAGCTGTTCAAGCCCCGGTGTGAGGACTCTTCATCCAATCAGTCCTCTAATGAGTGATCTAATTGGGGAGTCGCAGCGAAAATCCGCATACACAGCGGCCCTTTGTGGATAAGATTGGCCACCCCTGATTTATTAGGAGACAAGCATCTTTTGGGATCCTGATGTTTGCATTTTGCCCAAAGTTTGCATCTCCTTTATATGGAAACTGCAGCTGGATATATTGCTCCGAAGAGACTTAAAATTCCCATTCAGGGATCATTTTTATTTGAACAAAAGACAACGTTCCTCTGATTCTGCAGTGTTACAACACTGGAAAAAACAAGGTGAACTTAGAATGCCTACCGGCAAACTGCTCCAACAGTGTGGCCAGGTGTAGTGATGGAAACAAAACATATATAATGTTTGTTCTAATAAATATTTAAGTCCGGTGACGTATGTAATTTATCCTCTCACACTTCTCTATGACTACACGATATTGCTACGTTTTCAAATATCACAGTGTGACTTTCTTGCAGTAAATATTGTGATATTTAAAAAGCAAGAAAAAAGGAGTTGAAATTTTACCCAAATAAGCTATAGCTACATAGATCTTGTTCTTATCTACCGATAGTCTTTTGCTTTTTAAAATACCGTCAAAATACTGTATACTTTGATATAATGTCTGTGAATTGTATGAAAAATTACATACCGCCTAACCCTAATCTCAACCCAGCTGACTGTCGTGATCCTTGTCATGTGACAGTTGCTTGTGTATAACATGCAGTGTCAATTATAACATCCACATGGTGTGCACAGGCCAATTACAAGCAGAGTCTGGATGTTGACAGCTTTCCTCCACTATGGTTTAATCGAATGGAATACAGCTTGGTTAACAGATTTAGATAGAGGGAAGAATGGTTCTCAGTGTCATTCCTGTATGTTCAGAAGGCTTTTGCATTGGCTTAACACATTCAGAGCTGTCACTTGCTGGTCAACCTAAGTCACCCTGTCAGTCCCCCCGCCGTTCAGAGTTATGAAAAACAATCTCACCTTGTTCTTCATGCAAAGTTTGCGTTTCCCCACATGGAAGTGGCTCCAATATTTGTATTAAGGTACCATGCACATTGTCTTAAACAAGTGCTGAATATTGAATTGGCTTGCATTAGATTAAAAATATATATATATCCACGTTAGACAATCCTGGCTATGATGAATGTCTTGTCAGTGCTTGTGTTCTGGTTCACAGATATCCATGCTGTAAAATCACTGATAATTCACCAGTTACTTCTCAAGGCGTACATGTTAATTAAAATATATTCACTCTCCTTGTTAAAACAGATTCAGCCGATGAACAACGCAGCTATTGTTTTATTTTTGATTTTAAAATAGTGTAGCCCAGTAGCAAATAATTCTAAAATAAAAAAAACAAAAAACAATCTGATCTTACGAATCTGATGTGAAAAATAGTTTCTTGATGGCAAACTGCCACTACCAGCTGATTCGAACATGCCAGTAATATTGCTTAGAGCAATGCACCAAGCCTCACTGAACGTGAGTTTTGGTGAAATTCTCCGTTAAAAAAATGGTTGTATCAGAATCAGAAATTAGCTAAATATTAGAGTAAGCACATTTTTTTTTCTCCCCTGCTCCAGGGCTTCTGTTTCCTGGTCCTCAAAGGAATGGGGGATATTGTTGAACTGAAGTCCTTTTTTTGGGGGAAGAATGAAAGCAATCTGCCTGGTGTCCAGAAACAATGGCGGCCTCGTGGGAAGCCTTTCCTTCCTAGGATTCCAGCAAACTCGGTGATGGAATCCTAGTTAATTTCCATGCGTTTAGACGAGAAGAGCGCCACCAGAGTGGAGCGGTGTATTTTCTTAAATTTGCATCGCATCACAGCTGACCGAGGCTGAAGAACCTCCCTGTTCACATGACATCAGGGAACAAGCTGAGACCACAGACCCTTGTTTCCCTCGCAGCCATCAGCATGTAAGTATTATACAGACTTGCCAACTCGTGCAAATGTGCCGTTTTGTTGTGCATTTGTCGTACAAACTGATGATAATGATTCGGCAAAGTCGTCTGCCGTCCATTTCTGTAGATGATAAAATTAAGAACAACTTTATTTCAGGAAAACAGACCTAAGTTCCTGTTGTGGTGGCTTGTTTTTGTGCCTGTGTATTTGGAGAGGGGACTTCTGTAACAGCCACTGTTTTTTTTTTTTAGTACGAAAGTCGTAGTTTGCGTTCACCTTTATTTGAGAAGTGGGCATTTGCTGATCGGGAACAATCCGGTTTTGCTTTCATTCAGAGCCTAACAAGTTAGTTAAACCTGAAAGTTATCATTAATATCTGAGTCAACATGGGGCCTATCTTCAAATAGTCCCCTTTAACAAAAACAAGGTTGCGAGAGGAATAGACTGTGAATGGTCTGAATGACAACAGGGAGCTCCTCTGCTCTGTTGCTGCCTTTACCTGCATAACACTGACAAATGAACGTAACATTCTGCCAAGATGCAGAACACAGACATGCTTTGATGCCTATAAGAGTTCTTAATAGTGTGTTTTAATAAACCATTATTTGTATATATTTATTTTGCCTAGTAAAGAAAATCATAGCTGACATCTGACACTTTTATGGTGGAATCCATTACAAATTACAGCCAAAAAAACCTTATCATATGCACATTACAGTAACGTATATTGGAGGATCTAAAAGCTCATGTTTGTTTGGCAGAACCAGCAGCAGTCAGATACTAGACAATTTGTCATATTTAAAATGTATTTCTAAGTTAATATAACTTTACACAGTTTCATCATTCCAGGGTGAAGTATGTCTGTGTAACACGTCATAAAAACCATAACTCAATGAGAGTAGAGACAGTGGAATTTTGCAGGAGCAATTGCAAGAACCTTAATTATAGAATTTCATTGTGTAACTTGATAATTTAAGTTAAATAGAATAGCTGTTATTATTATTATTATTATTATCATTATTTATTATTTTTTTAATAATAATAAAACTTCAGTGTTGTCTTTACCCTCTGTGATGGCTTTGTGTTTGTGAGATGATCTTCCCTGTGGAGTCTGTGGGACATTTTTAAGGTATAGGCATAACTTATTTACAGACAATGAAGCTAGCTGCTGGCGTGTCAGGTCACATACACGGATTCTGCATCAGCCAACACACTTGGGCTGGTTTTGTTTATGACATTTAGCAAGAAAACAACATTTTGTTGTTTCCAAACAGGCCTGCAACCAAAGCCGGAGGTGTGGGTGTCTGGTGCCGATATGAAGCAGCCAGTGGCATTTGAATGAGAGGAGAGCAAAATAAAGGCCATGGAACGTGACTAGGGTTTAATGAAGGTCCAGTGGTCAGCAGGGCTGGGTTACTAAGATTACCTAAAAGGGTTTATGGTAGGCTTCTGTTGGTTTGCATATTATTTATGGTGGGTAGGGAGAAGGGAAGCTCTTTCAAAATAAGCTGTTTACCCTTTTAATGCTGCAATGAAATATAGACACTGTTCTTCAATTAGGGCTGTTAAATTAATCTGTTAAAAATGAGACTTCTAGTGTGTTAGGCATTACATAGTGAGGGGAGGAGAACTTTTAGGGAAAAGTCTTTCAGGTATGATTTAATGGGCAGGGGTCTGGTTCATGTGCTTTGAAGACCAAGTAACTATATGAAGATAATCCACATCCATGCAAAACCCAGGGTACATTTGACTTGGTTAATCCTGATTAAAGCTGAGTTCTGGAAAGCCTGATAGAACAGGGCTGATACGAATATATGAGCAGGCTTTTCAGAGACTTCATGAGGTAAGGTTACTCCACAGTTTCCGTTCCGTTAATGCGTAGCCTAAGGACAAGAAAATGGATTTAAATCTTTGCATATTTCTGCTAATAGATAATTTTCTCATGTAACAATGATATGGGTTTGTCATACCTATTAAGTATAGTGTTTTGTATTGTGGAAAAAAAAAACGAATTTAAAATTGGCTGTTTTCCACGATTTTTATAGCTAAACTACTCCCTGGAATTGATGGTACTCACTTTGTGTGAGTATATTGATTTTGCATAATCCTGCCTCCTCTAATCACCTATTTGTTTACAAATTTAGTTATGGTTTGTACATAAGTGTAATGTGACTCATTGCAAAATTTTGACCAAATGATCAGCCTGTCGGGTTTTTTCCCCTCCTCTACTTGGGATGTTTACCATTGGATTTTGATACTGTATGTTTTCTTTTTAGTTCAAAAATTTGGATATTTCACTAAAGCAACGTACTAAACTGTTTTTGTCTTCTAATGTGTATTTAAGCAGAAAGGGACAGTACTTTTTTGGGTGATTTAGGAGGGATGTGAAATAGGACTGTAAGCACAGGTTGCTGCTGCTAAACTTCTCACACAATCTAATTTATTTTATAAAAAATAAAATGATCATGCATTGGTTGTTAAAGCACACGATTAATTTAATTAGCTTGGTTGTTGAGGAAGATCTGTTTCTACACAACTGAATTCAGTACTTGACTCTAACTGCCAAAAGACATCAAACAATGCATTGCATTTGTTGCGTATTATAAACACTACCTTGGAACATTTTGTTACAATGCTGGCTTCCCTTTGTAGTGGGACTCCAAGGTGTGTTGTCAAACTAGACAGCAACCACACAGACAGCAAGGCCTGCATGTCCTGGGACTGACTTTCCATTCCCAGGAGAAAGTTGCATTAATACTTTGTCACCTGTCTTTCCCCGAGGGTGGGCAGAGTGTCGCACTGCACTGGAATTTCCAGTTTTCTTTATGTAATATCCTCCACAGAATAAGCTTTTTTCCCTTCCTTTTTCACCTTTTCTGCTCTTGTCATTGGCTGTTTCTGAGACTGGCTGCTTGCCCCAGCTTTTGTTAGTCAGATGAGATCTATGGCAACTTGACTCTGGTTTGTGATCTTAAAGAAATAAAATGATGTTGTTGCGTTTTTCTCCCCTTACAGTGTGTGACTGTCAAAACAACAGTCGGCCTCTATGGTGTAGAATTGCATATTGTGTAGAATATGCATCATGCCATCACATACTGTCTCACTGTGTGTCACTTGGTGAAACCCCTGTCTGTAACACTGTTCTGTTCCTGTGTAACTCTGCACTCTTTTTCTAACCCCGTAATCTATCACTCTTCACTAAGTCTGGGCGATATAAACGATATATCACCTTAAAATCATAAAATTTAAATACGAAAATGAGAAACTTCTCATTGCCAAATTAAGTATAATAAATCTGTTGCCAAATTAAGTATAAAACTTTGATTTATTTATCACTGTATTACCCCAACTAAAAATTTCTAGTCAAAAAGTGCAAAGTCTCCAGTACAAAATATACAGTGGAGCACAAATAAAACTTTTAAGTAGTAATTAACCAAACTTTAGAAATAATACAAGTCTGATAATGTCTAGTTTATATACATTTTGCTGTGTTCAGACTAGCCTTACATACATTGAACTCAGTTTTGCTTTTTTTCTTCCTTCATCATAAAATACAGTAACTCCTTCACATTCACGAGGGTTAGGGGTGGAAGATCCCTGTGAATGTGAAAATTTGGGAATAAAGCTTGCCCCCCCCCCAACCCTGACCCATAACAGTCTGCTCGTCTGAATGATCACACAATTACCTTTTTGTAAACAAACAGTACTGTACTCTACACTGCTTGTCAAATTACATTGTCATTTCCACTCAAGACCTTTTTATATAATATACAAAACATCTAAATTAAGCCCCTCTGTGTAAAAAGTTACTATGTTTTGGGCTCCTTTATTTTAAAAAATGCAAAATTCATATAAATTAAATGTTCGAAGATTTATTATTAAAACTGCAAACACAATTAGGAAAAGTTTTAAACCAGAGGCAATGTGTCTGCCCGCAGTCTGAATAACAACATTCTTATTTGCACACTGTAAAGAATATATAAAATACATTTTAAAATCGAAAACATCAGAAAAATCATAATGAACTGAATCCCATGTCGTCTACAACTGAGTATGGTTGCTTGTCTGTCGCTTGATTTATTTAAACGCTGCAGAGAGACTAACTTGCAGAGGCTGTGTCTGTCTTGGTCCTGTTGTACACAGACTCGGATGATGTCTCGTGTTTTCAGCAACATATCCGAATTCCAGCATAACAGCTGGACAGTCTTGGTTTTATCAGCTACTCTCTCCAGTATGGGTGCAATTTATTAGAAAGCCAGAATGTTCCCAACTGCTGATTATGATGGACTCTAACCAGGGTTAACCATAGTAAACCTATAGCCACAATTAACAATGTTTTGTGTTTCTTTTTGGAATGTTATTTTGCCTCTGTCAAGAAATGTGTTTGTTTTATTGTGTGTACGGGACTGAAAATGAACATGTACCGGTGTACTGAAAAGTATTCCTGGCAGAACAGCTTAACTTATCACTCTGTTTTAAGAACATAAGAACATAAGAACTATACAAACGAGAGGAGGCCATTCGGCCCATCGAGCTCGCTTGGGGAGAACTTAACTAATAGCTCAGAGTTGTTAAAATCTTATCTAGCTCTGATTTAAAGGAACCCAAGGATTCAGCTTGCACTACGTTATCACTAAAGGGATATAATTCATTTATTTATTTTTTTGCTTCCTCCCCTTTTCTAACTTGAATTAAAGGAATTTAGTCTCCTTTTCAGTCAACGATGCATTGGTAAAGAAAGAGGTTATGGTGCAGGGTGTCCAACTCGCATGCATCTGACATGGCACTCTCACTCACACTTTTAGACTCTCATGCAGGCAGTCGTATGACACATCTATAAAATTAGCTGCATCAAAAGCATTGGGGTAGTTTGCAAACCATGCAGACTACAAAGTAATAAAACTGTTACATGCAGCTGACCAGTTAGCACCACTGTGCTGAATAATGTACTGTAGCTGACTCTTATGTGGGGTGTTTGCACCGTTTGCCCCCAGAAACAGTCTTACCTCATGCGTTATGTCAGACTTAAGAAGTTGATATTTACAGCAAACTGCAGTGGTTGCTTGTTTAGCGATAACTGGCGTTTATGATTACGCTAACTGAACTGTTTACTTTGCTTGTCATTTTCATCTATTTCCATGTTTTAGATATTTTCTAAATATCCTATATCTGACATATTAGTCTATATTTCGGTATTTTGGAATACTTATAGATTTGGTTCACTCCAAAAAGAAGGAACGACATATATGGTCTCCCCATCGTGACCGCGGTACCTAAGGAGACCCATAAACACACAAGACACAAGTGCAGGTGCTATGCAGAATTTTTAAGAAACACGGAGCACAAAGAACCCAAAATCAGAATATATTGCTTAGTATACAATTCTGGTGGAGACCGCTTACAAGCAGTCCATAAAACAAACTTGATGTAGTTAAAAGAAATATTAACAGGATCAGGTTGAGTTATGAAAATATTGTTAAGCTAAGTGGTGCTAATCGGGCACAGTTGTAAAATATGCCGTAAAGTGTAATGCTGTGTATGCGAAGACACGCGAGGTACAAATCGGGCACAGACAACAGAACTAAGGTATCTGTAAGCTTTATCTGCCGCGGTTGGTTCTTCTGGAGGTGATACAACAAATCTCTTCAACCACCGTAAAAGGAAGCATCCAGCACAACTTTGTTTAATATTTAAAATAAAGTTTAACTCTGGATTTTATTACCATATTGAAAACGGTATTTTTAATGCAATATTTTATTAAGTTTTCTTTGTCATCATGCCAAGGGGTGGGGGCAGCCGGTCACCCTTGGACCCCCAGAGGGTTTTTGTCCCCTTAGTTAGAAGTTCTAGGTTCCTCTTCTCTGTTGTCTTCCGGCATTTTCCTTTTTCCTTTTCTCCACTGTCCTGAACAACATCCATGAACTAATAATGCACCGTCACACACTCCTGTTAAGTGCCTTGGGTGCAACAATGTTGTGAAAGGCACTATGTAAAAATGAATAATTATCCCTATTAGAATAACATCCTTACAGTGTCATCATGCAGCCTTCACAATATGTAACATACGGAGACTAAAGGAAAACTTCATTGCTGATCTTGTTGTGTACTCCATGGGGTGGAGTTAGTTGATCCTCTTAGTAGCTGTATCTTACTACTCCAACATGTGATACTTACCCATATAGCCTAGATCTGATTCTGGCTACATCCTGACCCTGGCCTGATTTAACTGCTTCGTTGCTCTGAATAAGATGTGGAGTTTCAGAATTTACTGTTGAGTTTTGCTTGCTATCCTTCTGTCCTTCAGTTCTGTTCTCCAAAGCAAAGATGGTCACCATTCACCACAACTCCATCTTAATTAAGTGTTCTTTAAGCTTGTGTTCTCTGCCCCGGTACCATACCCCTGGGCTGAACATATGTAAAAGCTAATTTACTATTTGTGAACATCTTTGTAAGAAGGTTTATATTCACCAGAGACTCAGTCTCGCACTTCCGCCTCTTTTTCCCATGTGTAAAGTAAAGGGCTATGCGTGCTTTTCCTTTTCACACACGTGAAATTAGGTCATGTCTGTCTCTTCTCCCCCACCGTAAGTTTTGTCAGTGGGAATCGGGTTTAAAGGCTTAGCTAGGAAAAGACACAGCGAGTATTGCTGAGGCCACAGCCATGGGCTTTAAGCAAAAGCCACAGGCTCCTCCCCTGTTCTGGCATGCTTGTTCCCATTATTAGTGTGGATAATACGGGGCATTTGTGCAGCTGGATTTGTGCTGATGTCAGGGTTTTTATTTGGCAGAGTGGGCACTAGGTGTATCAATATATGACAGAAAAAGCAGAGGGTTGCAGAATTAGGACAGTAGCACAGCGTAAAACGTGCTATTGCCACAGTGTTGACTGAATGCAGTTCTTTCTCCTTGTTGCTCTCCAGCAGTCTGGGCAGGTGCTACTTGATGGTGCTACTTGTATGCCAACCCTATTTTTTTTTTCTGTCCGGTTAGGCCAAAGACAACGAGCGATCACCAGGAGCAGAGCAATGACGTCAGCCCTCTGCCCCCACAAGAATTGACAGAACCACCCAAGGAGGAGGACAGTCCCGGCCCCCCCTCCTTCAGGCAAGGCGTGGTACCCACCCACGGTTCCTAAACAAGGCTTTAAACCCTGGAGAACCTCATGTTGCTACAAGTCAGAGCTTTGCATCACATAATGGCTAACATGGCTTAGATGAAATATAGATACTCTAATTATACCTCAATGCCAGGAGTCAAAGTGGCTTAAAAGACAGATTAGTTACACAGTGCTCCCTCTAAGAGTCCCTGCTTATTCTAGCAGGCAGACGGGTGAGATCTAAAGCGTAATTGCGGTTGTTCTCTTTAAACTGAACAAACTGGTTGTAAAGAGGAGGAAAGAAAATCAAACGCATGGAGAAGGGACACAGTGATTCTAAGTGTGTGCTATTGTTTGGTGTGTCTCATGGACTTTCTTAAGAGCTGATTTAAGAAGACCGGCCAGCTTTAATAGGTAGTTTGGAAACCAGCATACATTCGGTCTCACAGGGGGTGGGTGAGTAGCTAGTTTTTGAGGAGCTCTGGTCCTTACAGAACTCACCCAATGAAAACTTAATGTCTTCATTTTTATTGGAGGAATAATAATCATAACTGGTACAAAACAGTCAAGGAACTTGTCAAGGCATTTATCAGAATGCATATGTTACATGTATATTACAAATGACAAAATGTGCGTCACATCATCTTTCTGTGGGAACTTCACTCTCAAGCCGATGTACACCATTGTTTATTTAGCCACGATGATAATTATTGGCAGCTTTCCTCAATGTGTTATTCGTAAGCAAGAGATCTTTTGGCACTTGTGCATCATGCCATTGAGCAAAAGATGCTTCACTTTTCAATTCAGATTCAAGTCTCTTTTTTTTTCCAAATAGCTACTTCCCGCAGCATCCCTCTGGCACACGCAGCCTTTTTAAGAGCGGTTCTCTTCCTGGGTCTCCAGAGCCTTTGTTGCTAGGTTGCTTTCAGTAAGGTTCATTACATGGTGAGAGAGCCCCCCTCACCTGGCAATATCTGTCTGAAAGGCAGTTCAGATTCCCAGGCTACTGTCGGATTCTTCTAAAATGTAAATACACCAGTATGTAGGTAAATGTCTGCCAAATGCAATGTCTGTAAGGAAACCCAGAGAACCTGTACTGTGACCTTGTGCCCAGGGCATTATCCTCCTGAGTTAACTTTTTGTTAGCCTCATTATTTTCTTTCTTGAGTTTCTGTACAAGTTAATACTGGTTTTCTGCCTTGTTGCTGGGTTTCCATGGAGATGTGCAGTAGTCATGCTTATTCACTGAACCTGTTGATGACGACCATCTTTTACTTATGTTGATGAATTATTTTGCCCGAAGGTCACGATGAATAAGTGAAGGAGCCTGGTTTGCTCTGGGTTTTCACCTCTCACACATTTATTATTCAGTTTTGTAAATGGAAAATAGCAGACTGGATATCGGGATATCCCTTATGCATTTTGGGGCAAGAGATTGTGTAGGATTACCTAGTGATGGGCTTTTTTTTTTTTTTTCCCCCCCGAACAATTTCTGTGAATTTTTACCACAGTCACACTCCTAATACTAAGCCATATTAGGTGTGCCCAGTTTTTTCCTAAGTTGCCAGAGACTATTACACACAGACACAGCTCAATCCATAACCCTGATGTGCAAGTCTGGGCCCTGTATCACGAATCCGGATTTCCTGCTTAACTGAATAACTTGTCTGATTTAAGGTACACCAGTTTAAAAGTCCTTTATCTTTATTCACTTACATTTAGCCCAGACTACATTAAATCGGACAAATCATCCAACTAAGCAAGATGTACTGTTTTGTGATACAGGCCACTCGTATCATAAAGTTTTGTTTCTAAATAAATGGTTTCCCAAATAGTGTTACAGGGTAGACGCTTAGGAAGCATAAAGGAGAGGTCTGGGTACCCCCTGGGTGGGACAATGGCGCTTGAAACAAGCAGACTTGTTCACTCATGTGCATGCAAAGAGCACTTTCTGGGTTGCTAACTTATCTGAGCTGCATGTGTTTGAACTCTGGTTCTTGTAACTTGATGATTCACAATGATTCATTCTTATTTAGTATAATTTCATAAATAATTATATACTTTTGCGTTTATGCCGTTCAGGGATGGTGGCAAACGTGGAAACAGTCGGCAGCAGCCTAACATCTTCATTTTAAATGTGTGTCCTAGTAACAAGAAACGAAAACATTGTTATTCCAAAAGTCCTTTGTTTCTTTCCTTCTGAAAACAGACTTTTTTCATGGCAGGAGATGAAAGAGTCACATAGCCCAGCTGGTGAAACAACACTGGGAAGTAGGGCCTGTTAGCAGAGCGAGCGCTGCCAGCTTAATTCCCTGCCCTCACAAAAGGCCTGTTTCTGTCTGCTTAATGGCCCCCAGTCCCTCCTGTTCCCAGGAGCACTGGCGCTTCTTCACCACCGGGCAGAGTTGACACTCCAGAAGAAGATGAGAATGACAGGGGAGCGTTTGGAGGAGTCACTCCTCGAGGACAGGGCTGACCCCACTCTGTAGAGTCTGTGGTCCATTGTTCCTCAGCTCTTGATTTGTTCTTATTATGAAAGAGCCCCTATTGTGTGAGCATTGGCTGGAGCATGACCTCCAAGCACATTTCACCACCTCCCTGTCCCATTCTCTTGCTAGACCCTGTGAAGCTGAGAGGATGGGCTTGGCTGTCCAGAACCAGCTCGACACACCGCATTGCCATTTTATAGTTGCATTTAATTTGTTACGCTAACTCTCTCTACCCATGTGTGATCATGATTTTGGGGAACAATTTAGATTTGAATTGTGTTAGATGAAATCATTCACTAGATTGCTAGAAATGTTGGCACTGCCTATGATAAACTCTCCCAGGCAAAAAATGACTGCTTAATTGCACTGAAGACAGTTTTAATTAGGAGCTGTTCATTAAAGGGAGGAATTGTAGGTTGGGAGTCCCCACAGAGCTGCAGATGGGAGTCGGGGCCCTCTGCAACGTGGCCAGCTGCACGGAGACCTGTGGCCTGCACTACGAAGCGGGGTTACTGGCTTATCGGGGTAACTTGTCGGATTTAAGGTACCACAGTTTAAATGGACTTCATATTCGTTCACTTACATGTTGCCCAGACCGCCTTAAATCCGACAAGTTACCCCGATAAGCCAGTAACCCCCCTTCGTAGTACAGGCCACTGGTTCTGCTAGCACACTTGCAGAAAAAAGAGGGAACTTCAAAGCAGATGTTTCCTCACAAAACAAAATGGGTGGAGAAGCCGTGATACCATGTCAATGGATCTGTTATAACTTGTCTTGTGCTGAATGGACTTGAGTATTTCAGGAATGCGGAGTAATGAGAGTTTGTGTACACTGAATAGCTCTGTCATAGTTCTCTTGTTTTTCTTGATTCAAGTGCATTGTGTGTAAAGCCACTGGGAGCAGTGATGTCACTGATAGTTTTGCGTGTCATGGAGCTTCTGGTCATCCCCCTCCCCCCCCCAATAGCAGCAATGACAAATGGGCAAACAGCACAAAACCAAGCAGTGCTTCCTTCATTATGCATGCACATATAGTCCAGGTTACGCTCCAGAACTGAGGACACAAGTCATAAGATGCAAAATCACATACACAGTACATGGAAAAAATATGGATTAACATAACAAAGAGCACATTTCTGTTTTTCATTGCTGTCAACTACATACAAGTACAGTATTATTAGTTAGATGTGTACAGGCAGTCCCTAGATTACAGATTACGAATTTGTAGGTACGTTGGATAAATAATACAGTACTTACTGTTATTATTACTGTAGTTATGTAACTACATACAGTACTTACTGTTATTATTACTGTAGTTATGTAACTACATACAGTACTTACTGTTATTATTACTGTAGTTATGTAACTACATGCAGTACTGTACCTCGAGCCGCTGAACCACTGAAGCCGCATGAGCATCACGTACCACGTCTGTTATCACAAACCATTGTATTTAACACTAATTTTTAATTGAATAGGCTTTATGGCAGTCCGGTAGTACAAGTTGTCTGTAAGTCAGATGTTCTTAACGCGGGGACTGGCTAAATCGTTTACCGCAGTGCGGCTGGCAGTGCTGTCAGTCTGTGACATGTCTGCTTTATGGACTTGGGTCCGATCGGACGTTACTCGCTAGGACGTAGGTTGATGGATGACTGTATTGGAGCATTCACACTCACTCGGTTCCCTGTAAGTCACTCTGTCACCATGGGCTCTTCCTTTGTGCGTGACGAAGGTCCCAGTGCCAGTGGGAGAGATGCTTTTGTCTGTGAGTGCAGCCGGGCTCAGGGACGGAGAATATCACCTCACACATCAGTCAGTGGGCTTTTTGGTGTCTTGTGTATGTAGGTAATTAAAGTATACTATAGATATCAGCACCTGGTAGTTTCAGACGCGTGTGCATACCTTTTCGTATCTGTGGTAAATGACCATATGCGCAGCAGTGTAGTTTGAACTTATTACGTACTTTGTTGGAGTTTTGCTTTGAATGTCCATGCAGTGTGTGTCTGTTGTGGACCCTTTGAAAGGCTTATGTTGAGTGAGCTCACGTAAAAATGCTCGTTACTAGATTTCTGGCTTGCTTTTTCCCCATTATGTCAATAGCATTTTACTTTGAATATTATTTTAGAAGCTAATATAAGGTGCATTTCCATTTTGGATCAAAGGCGGTTAGCACCTGAAAATGTTCGCATTCAGGGATGGAGACCCCTCCAAGATCTGTCCTGCTCACTTGACATTTAACGGCCTCCTGCCAAGGTATTCTGGGAAAGTGAGAAGAGTGGAAGCTATATGAGAGAGAGAGAGGGAAGGGGTGCATAGGCTGGCCTCTCAAGACACGATTGATGTCCTGATCAGAGGATGCAGTGCTGTTGCAGTGATTCAGTCATTAACCCCCCAGCAAAGACTGGAAAGCCTTAAAGCTGTCTAGAACCTCACAACATGCTTTAATCCATCTGGAGCAGGTTAAGTACTGAGCTCAAGGACAGAGCAGTGGGGTGCTTTCTGTACATAGCACAAATTTTGTACCTTAAACAGCTGTTTGTTGACTAATGTTAGTGATTCACTGTGATTACTCGGGTAGCTTTTTTTTTATTTTTTATAAAGCCAACAGGCTCTCAGGCAATGAAGTTTTGGCTCTACAAGCTGCTTAATGTGATTGTCCCTCTATAACATTCAGCACATAAAACCCACCGTTCAAAACAGGTCAAATGATATACATCTTGAGTTTATTCTGCTGCACAGCAATATCCTCCAGCTGTTCTGTTGATGAGAGTGCACCTACATGTTTGTATGTGTATGTCCATAAATTTATGCACATGAAGATATGTCACAAATATTTTCCTTTTTCGTGGATTTCCAACCCAGTTGACTCACCTCACTTCCTGTTTCAGATATCAGCTGATTGACGATCTTTCATACGAAGACTTGAAAAAATGCTACCGTGCATCAGTGAGTAGTAGCTCTTATTTCATGTGATTCTTGCCCATATGAGAGTAGTAATAAAATAAAGAAGCAAGGGACAATTGTGCTATGATTCTGAATTTGAGAATTGCTATAATGATGGTAGCTGATGTTGACAGTTAGAGCATCCCAGCATTTTGTAAGGTTGTCCACTTCAGTGCCTGGTACACCGTTACACAATTGGATGTTAATGATCAATCCAGGGCTCATGCTAATGAACCGGTTCAGAATTATGGCTGAAATGGGCATGAGAGACCATCGGGTAGACCCCAAATAGGTGGCCGTGTAAGTTGCCTGTCGCTCTTTGTCAAAGCCCTCGTGACACACCCCTCTCCCCCCTGACCAGACGGTGAGCAAATACAATTCTCAGTACCACAAGCTGTTCCAGACGGTGCCCAAGGAGGAGACCCTCATGAAAGGTACGAGGATGACTTCATTGGGCAAATTCCAGGTTCTGTCTACTGTTGGGTTTTATTTTAAACAATTTTTCCCCACAAATATAATTTGTTGAGTATCATATCTAGGTAAAATGTGTATAACTACAGCAAGCAGCCCCCTGTGTCTCAGCTGTGCCCCTCCAATGTGACCTGGTGCACATCTTCTTCCCAGTGTACTCCTGTGCCCTTCTCAGGGACATCCTCCTCCAGGGCCGCCTCTACATCTCCAGGAACTGGCTCTGTTTCTATGCCAACCTCTTTGGCAAGGACATCAAGGTGAGTGGGGCTTCAGCAGGTTGTAAAGTCCCCCTGGGGCTCTCGTGCTGGCTGACTCCAAGTTTACTACAGTCCCTTGTTTTTAATTCTGCTTCTAATTAACCTCCCAAGAAAGCACCCGGAGTCCTGGGGTTAACCGATAACCCACAGCTCCCACGGGAGAGTCAGTCATGGTCGAGTAAATGTTGCTGTGTTTAATGGCCCTTTACAGTGACGTTAACGTGCACAGATGCTTGGGTTTGGTGGTCTGCAAGAGACAGTGTGTCTTTAATATTTAATAAGCATGTGGGACCGGCCCTGGCCGAATAACTTCCATTCATGGATTTAATGCATGGCTTGTTCTCGCTGCTAGCTGTCAGGATGGCACGTCCATAATGGCGGCGTTGTAGCTCGGCTCAGACGCAGTGTAGCTACACAGAGAGCCACTTGTCAGCACGCTGGACGGCAGCCGCACCACGCTTGACATCCTTTCCTGGGAGAGGCCGTGCTGCTCTGAAAGGAGTTCTGTGTCTTTTTGGAGTCCCCTCTGCCAGCAAACATGATGCCAAGATGCACCTCCTCTAGGGGTCGTCCACACCAAGCACGAGAACCTGAGCTGAACTGTCACTATCGCGCTGCGCGTGTTTACAGTCCAGTTTGCTGTGCGGCCTGGCGCCTCTCTCTGCTCGTGTGTTTGTTTGTGGTACTCGGCTGACCTCTCCCCTGGAATTCATGAGGCAGCCATTAAACATGGTTGCTACCTGGAAGCGTGCCCCTTGTTGTGTGACGGCTGCATGAGCACACCCCTCTTGTTTCCTCGCTCAGGTGGCCATCCCAATCGTCTCTGTGCACGTGGTGAAGAAGCACAAGACTGCTGGCCTGGTGCCCAACGGATTGGCCATCACCTCCGACACGGGTCAGAAGGTGCAGTCCCTCTTGTCTCGTCCGGCTTTTTTCGAGCCTAAAACGCAGAATGAGGCAATGCGGATGGGTCCCAAGGTCACTGCGCGGCTTGGTGCCGTTGGTGCGCTTGTTCTTTATCCTGACATCATTTCACCTCCATGTTGTTGTGGCCACATTGTTTGTTTCTTCTTGTTTGTTTAAGGGATTCATCAGAATGGGTGAGGGTCGTGTTTCATGCCAAAAACTGGACATTCATTAAATGATCTGATTTATTGTAGTATTTTTTTTGGATGGGTTAAATTTTTTTAGTGTTTTAAGAACAGTTTTGTCATGGTGCTTTTTATACATTTCTATGTATTTTATCTTCTAACTGCTTATTCTGGTCAGGGTTGCAGGGTGGGGGGTGGGATTAAGTTCACAAGATTGTGGACAAACCCTGCATGAGATTCCAGCCCACAGCAATATGCAGATACTCATGCACCTTATGCAGATACTCATGCACCTTATGCAGATACTCATGCACCTTCATATGCTATAGACCAGTGTTTGTCAACCCAGTCCTCAGGGACCCCAGACATACCAGTTTTGTTCTCCCTCCCAGCCCACAACATACCACAGGTATCCATGGGTTCTTGATTGGCTGGCAGCTGGGAAGGAGCTAAACTCTGGACTGTCTGGGGGTCCCCGAGCACTGGGTTGGGAAACGATTTAGGGATCACTGGATTCCTTTGGACTGGGAGAGGAAACCCACATAACACAGGGAGAAAATGCAAACTTCACACATATATCCCTGTTCAAGACCAGTCTCTGCTTGCAGTCTACAGTAATATTTTTTTTTACCCTATTAGCTCACAGGGTTATATAACGGGAGTGCACTCATTAGTCTCCTTTAGATTTAGTTGCTATTTTGGTTTTAATACTTATTTGGTATTGGCACCTTTTCTTGCATTAAGACTGATAACAGATTAGTCAGCACCCCATGCTGGCTTACTTAATGTAGTAGGAAGCAAACAAGGCTGGCCTCCTTCATTCTTATTGCGTATAGTAGTGGAAAACAGCCCTTCCTTCCAGATAATGACGTAAGAGTATACATGCAGTGATACTACCTTTTAAAGCTAGGACAAATGCAGCATTCGATGATAACGGCATATTTCCTGTATGTGTTAGAGCGTGTGTGTATAAGAGTGTGTGTGTGTGCAAGCAAGCATGTAGATAATGGCCCTGAGATGACACCTCTGCTTCCTCCCTCAGTATGTGTTCGTGTCCCTAATGTCCCGGGACAGCGTGTATGATGTGCTTCAGAAAATCTGCACACACCTGCAGGTGAGCAGCCTACACCCCCCTCTCCCTTGCTCAACCCCAGGCTGGCATGCCTCCCTCCCACTGAGATTTTTCCACTGTATGCACACGCTCATCAGTGTCACCCGCATGCTTGGCACGTCATGGGTGGAGTGTAATAGGGACTTTAAATGGCAGATAGTTTTTTAAAATGGTGGGATTAACTTGGTTTTCTTGCTGTATGGGGTGCTTAAGGTAATGAACAATGCAGTGCACGATTCCGTGGAGTAACAGTGCATTGTGTTTACCACAGTGAATTTGGGAGCAAGATCCGTGTGTGTACAACAATAGCAGTTACACAATGCAGTGCAACACGGTTTGATGTGCTGTAGTTAAAGTGCTACTTGGATTATGCTGGACTCCATCCAAACTCAGAGCTGAGGCTGCTGGGATACGTTGTCCTCTCCTGACCTCTAACATGTGACTTCCACCCCGCCCCTTACTCTGCTTCATAGGTCAATAGCAAGAAAAGCCTTGGTGTGAAGCAGTATATGGAGGAGCCCAGCTCATTGTCAATGGTGAACCCATAGTAACACTGACTGTACACTAGTGTCGCTTTCACATAATATTAACAGTGCTCATGTTAATACTCACATTACAGAACTGTATGATTGCCGGACAAGTGTAACAGTTATGTTGTATTAATGATCTGGCAATAGTGCACCTCACCTTGCCCTACTGCTGTGGTAACTGATGCTGAGGGGGCATGGAGGATGAGAGGCTTAAACATACATTTCTTTGGCTAATTATCAAGACATTCTTTGAATGTACATGTTAAACTGTCATTAGGTTCATTATGTTAAATAATCACATGTATTTCCATCACAGATATGTTATGTAATGATGGTCTCTTCCATTGTGGCTTAGGATGAATTTCCAACCCCGGACGAATTCCCAGCGACGGATGCGTTCCCATCGGTCCTCCAGTGGAGGCGTAAGGCATCGGTGGTGGCCACGTCGTCCTCTCTGCCCGACCTCCTGGGAAGCTCTTCCAGCAACCTCAGTGCCGTGGACGGCTCCTTCCAGGCCGACACGCCGCTGCAGGGTGAGCGCATGTTGCTCGTCAAATATGCCTCATCCTAGTAGGATCCACAAAAACTCTGTAATGCGTGTGTTTTTCCTATTGTTAATATGCTTCGTTTTGAGATTAGATACAGCTTCATTGATCTTTGAATTGGTGTTGTCCAACAGCTTAATAAAAATGACTCCCAGAATAAATGCCATCCCCCTCCAGAAAAGAAATGAGGAAAAAGTATTGGTGGAACATGTAAGGTCAAAGCTGCCTTATAAAGATGGAAGGTAGGTAATGTATGGGTTGAAGATCATGATTGATGAAGGAGAGTTGGGTTAGTGTCCTCGTGAGTTTGGTGTGGTTCTGGACATGGAGACTGGAAGCATTGAACAGAGCAATGGAAGGAGGCATAAAGGTTTGTCTGAATGGTTCAGTTGGGCATTCCTGGAAGATGAGACTATACCTGGAGGTGATCCTTGATTGTACCAGCTCCCTCAAAAGGGCTGTTTTTCTGAATGGAGGACAGTTTGGAAGCCTTTATTCCTACCTCTGTCATTTCTAATGAGTGCAGACTTAGCCAGGTGACAAAGCAAGCTTCCGTCTAAAGTTCATTCAGCCTTCTAACCTCCTTTTTGTCCTTTTCTTGATGTTACCCCAAGGAAACGGCAGTAAAGAACACGACACTGCCTACGTCATCTTGGTAAAATATTGTAGTGTCCTCGAGGAAAAACCTCGCTCTGTGTTGTCATGCAAGTTCATCCTGTCATTGTAGTGATCCAGGTAACCGCGAAATCCTCAACAGGCATCATCTTGGAGCTTCTCCAGCAGGGAAGGCTGGATGGTGTTAAACACACTGGAAAAGTCAAAGAGCATCCTCATGATGTTTGCCCAATTTGTCTAGTTGCGAGTTGGCTCTGTGAAGTAGGTGCAGGATAGCATCTTTCACACCCCTGTACCTGATATTCAAACCGAGTGGATTTTGAAAGTCCTTCACAAGTGACCGGATATACTGGAGGATCAAAAATCATCATTTTATGGGTTGTTTAACTCATCTGCCCTCTCTGGGTTTCCAGCTTCACCAGGACCGTCCACTTTGTCATAGACAGTGATCTTCCTTGTCCATTTCCACACTTCTTTTATGTTGTTATTCTCTAGGTTATAATCAGTCTTCTCTATTTATATTCTTTTCCTCTTCAGAACCCTGTGTACTTCATCTCCTCCCTTTCCTTCATCAGGAAAGCCCTCTTATTGCAGGCTGTGTTGATATTCTTTTCACAGGCTTGTTATTTTGGAAACGGCACTCTTTTTTTGAGTAGGGCAATATTTCCATCTGCACAAAAGTTGACATGCAACGTGAGAGCCCATTGATGTCCAGGCGATACAGTCCACAAAACCAGTTCCAGTCTGTCACCTAAAAGCCTTTCTGCTGAGCCCCTTGTTTCGTGTATCCTCATCCTTGCAGTGTTTATGGTGGAGTGCTGCCACTGAATGAGGAGTTGTATTTGGTGACCAGGTGTTCAAAGTTGTGATCTGACTGGCCAGTGGGGTAAGAGGGCAACAAATCTCTGCGTTGTTCTTGTTTGCATAAAACAAGTGTAAAGTCCTGTCTTGACCTCACATGTTGCGTCTGCGTAAGCTGCTGGTGGACTGCAAACAATAGCAACCACGTGTGAGGACTTGCAGCTCAGTATGTGGGCAGCAGATCTGCTCCTTCACAGTCACATGCTATGGCCGGGATTACACCAGTGTGGCTAAACAGCAGCTATTGCACCCCTCCCACCTTTCCGCCATCTTCATTCCAGTCGGTGTCGCATGAGCTGGGAGCTCTCCAGCGCGATGGCAGAGTGCAGCCAACCAAGATTCTGGGGAGGGCTTTAAGCTGTATTCCTGTTCATCCTATTGGCTCTTCCTCAAGGTGGAGAGCTCGTCCATTTTCTTCTGAAGTGATCTAATTCTCGCCAAAGTCACTGTAGGCAGCTAAACTGTATTGTTTTATCTGCACTAAATTATCTACAAGCATGCTTCCCTCTCACTGTACCACCAGCATTTAGGTAGGCTTTGTCTTATATGTTATATATTTCTTTCCTTGAGGGGGCGCTGCTGGGCCGATTGCTTCAGCACCTGACTGCCAAGTGCAGTGGGATTCCCCTTTGTTTTGGGGCCAATCTCGGGGGCAGTGAGCTCCCATCTGTTAATCATGCTGTTGTAGTAAACTGAATGAAAATAACCGAAGAATAGTAAAAACTAGAAAATTAAAAAATTAAGAAAAGTTGCAAAAGAAACTAGAAATAGGGAAAACAGCTGTTGGACAGGACTATTAATTGTTGCAATGGTAAATTATGAATTTTGTTGTTTAGAATGTTTGTTTGTGTGATACGAATCTTTAGCAGTTACGTATTTTGATCGATAGGCTTAAGTCTTATATGGAGTACTGTCTGATTATTTACAGCATATAGGCATTTAAGCAGGACAGAGAGCTTTTCTGTTTTCTGGAAGGTTATCTAGTTTGACAGGCATGATTTAGGGCTGCAGTGGACCTTGTTCTGTGTGCTAAAGAAAGATGTTTTAGCACCTGTATAAATGCAGAAACGGCCTTTGGTGGTGATGATGGTCTGTAAGTCGGTCACTGTGGTGTGGTGTTAAGAACATAAGAAATTTACAAATGAGAGGAGGCCATTTGGCCCATCAAGCTCGTTTGGGGAGAACTTAACTAATAGCTCAGAGTTGTTAAAATCTTATCTAGCTCTGATTTAAAGGAACCCAGGATTTTAGCTTCCGCTACACTAGCAGGAAGACTATTCCATACTCTAACTACAAACTGTGTAAAGAAGTGCTTCCTCAAATTTGTTTTAAAATGTTCTCCCGCTAGTTGGTGTCATCCAGCATTTCCTAGAAGTGCTGTCAGGTGTCTTCATGAGAATTTCATCTCCCCTCGCTACATCTCTGCAGAGAGAGGTCTCAACAAGGAGAAGCCGCTTCTGGCTGAGCCCATCCCAGAACTGGGTCAGATGGAGTACCAGCTGCTCAGGTTGTTCATCCTGCTGTAAGTACTGCCAGGCTGGCCTGTTTGCCCAGCTTGAGCCGGACCCACTCATGTTCAGATGATAGGCAGCTTGCCTGTGTCCTGCTCATGACCTCAGCAGGGGAATGGTGACTGTCATTAATCTGGGAGAGGAGCTACGGTTCTTAAGGTCATAATACCCGTGGTGTATTATGCAGGAGACTGTTGATATCATCATCGTTAGAATCCATGCACTTGTGCATCTTTGCATAGGTGATCTGTTCCGTAAGTGTTTATGAAATATTACAAGCTAAATTGGCAACAGGGTACTTGCAAAGAAAGTAATAAATCACATTTTTTTATTATTATTAATCCATCATTTTTTATCATCTACTGGAATAATCATGGCACAATAACTAATGCCAAAACAGCGAATGTTGAGTAGTGTCCTGCCTCCATCTAGTGTACAAAGTGTGAAGTTCATCCCCTGATTGAATGTACTTTTCCATACCTTTTATGGTGATTGATTGTTTGCTTCTTCTGTGAGCTTATTTTGCACTTGCTTGTGAAATCTTAGTGGGGATCGACAGAGAGGCTCGCATCATCATCACCTTCCCTCTCCTGCCCCTTCTGTCCCTCAGCATAATCCTACTCGTTGTGTCCTCTTGCTACCTGGCCTTCCGCGTCTGCTGCCTGGAGCAGCAGCTCTCCTTCCTCAGTACGCACCCTAGCCTGCCTGTCAGAGAGAGGTGAGTAGCGTGTCTCTGCTGGTGTCCAGTCAGATATCCTCCCATCTCTCCCCTCACTCACAGCAGCGAAACTCACTCACAGCAGCACTGTCAGCTGGATTCCTCATGTTATCCAGCAGTAACTCAGGGGAAAAGAACTGGATAGTTTATTTTATGAGGAAGAAGCTTTAAATGTTCCAGAACTTTCCTTGCCATTTTAACTGTGCTTTGAACAAAGCATTTCTTCATCTGTCCTGGAAAAATGGCCATATTTTAGTGCAGAGGTATTTTATGGTTTTAAACTTTCCTGTAGGCAGTGGTAAGGTAATCATAACAATGTTTCTGCCTTTTCTCACATTCCAGTATGTCCTGGGCTGATCTCAGATGCTGGGATCTGTGTTTGTTTCCCCTGTTAGGTAACTGCCAGTGTCCTGACTAGGGGGCAGGCCATGACCAACACAAGTCACTGCTTCCCCCCTGCTGTCACCTCAAAACTCCATCAACTGACTTAATTTCTGTGTTGGGTTTGCACAAGACTGGAGCGAGCATGGAATAAAAACCAATGGCTGGTTTGTCCAGAACAAGTATTGTGAGGTATGGAGGAAACCGAAGGAAAACAAACACACTGTGCAGTGTGTTCGACGGGCGGCAACAAACCTGAGCTGCTCTAGCAGCCCACCACAGGGGTGGAACGTCAGCAAGGCCTCACTCCTCTTCTCAAACCTTCATCCTCCAAATCTCCAGTGTCGCAGAGCTGGCCGACCAAGCACCGGCTTTCATCCTTTACTTCTGTTCCACTCTTCTAAAGGACATTATCAGGGGTTCTCATCCTACAGGCCAAACCTATTTTAATTCCTTATTTTCCATACATAGCTCCACCAGTCTGGAGCAAATTCTTTTTTTTTTATGAGGGTTCCCCCCCCCCCATAAAGCCAAACAACTGTCAGAGGAACACTCTCATCCTAACAGAAAGCACTGTAAGCTGCAGCTGTATTCACCCTCGAAAGACCCTCCATATCTCTTTAGATTCCAGTGTAACCATGACTCCTCCCACCCAACCACAGATCGTCTGTCGCTGACTTGCAGGCATTTGCCTAGCAATAGGATGCATCGGATTGTGCGACCAGGCCAGACTGTCAGTGGGCGGCACCTTGGTGGACGACAGCTGCCATGTCTTCATGCTAGTTTTGTGGTTTTGTTGACTAACCGCTTTTCTGGACTTTTCAGTGTTTGTCATTATATGTCACTTCAGACAAGGATTAAAAAAAAAAAAAACACCAACTCCTGATAGCAGGTTTTCATCGATTCCTTTTCTGTGAATCATCAGTAGGCCATGATTATACCTGTAACTTCAGGGGTTAAAGACCCCTGTTAGCATTAAAAATATGTATTTCAAAAGCCCGATGTTTGCCTAGAATATCTGCACACTTGGTAATGACAGGTATTGTCTTATTACTGTATCTTTGCACAAATTCTCCACTGTATGGAATAAAGACATGGGATGTAGCTCCCTTGTTGTATAGAAGTCAACTTTCTTATGTGGAGTGAACATACGTGTAATTGACTGAATTATGTATATAAAAGAGCAAATCCAAGGCAAATAGCAGGATTGTGATTGTGAAGTTGAATTTGTTAGCCCGCAGAGGGGACTACATGAAATGTAGCACACAGAGTTCACAAAAAGGTTACTTCTGTGTTATATTTGTACTGGAGAAAATTAAAATGCATAGTGGAAGTTCTTGAGCGTGAGTTTCAAATTTCAGTTTGGGGTGTTACGGTAAAGACAAGGGTTTCATTTTCAGTTGTCCAGTGGAAGTGCTGATTGAGTAGATGCACCTCTCCACTGGATGCGAAGTGCCCAGTGGCCGTGTAGAGCGTTCTTAACTATACTTGTATTTATTATCATGTGATCTGAAAGTAGGGAGCGACATGTCTCACTTTGCTTTAACCACCCCACTGCAGAATGACCATGCCAACCCATCTGCTTAATAAACAACTTGCTCAGCCCACACTGTGGTCGGTTTAAACTTTTGTTACTCGTCTTCAACCTCTGGATTCTGCTTTTTTTCTTATCAGACCTCTATGCACTCAGTGACCACTTCAACACCTCCAAATTCGAGACCATGGTCCTCAGCCGGAAAAGGGTGGAATGCTCTCTCCGGGTCGGGGATGGGGTCCTCCCCCAAGTGGAGGAGTTTAAGTACCTCGGGGTCTTGTTCAGGAGTGGGGGGACGATGGAGCGGGAGATCGACAGCCGGATCGGTGCGGCGTCCGCAGTGATGCGGGCACTGCATCGGTCTGTCATGGTGAAGAAGGAACTGAGCCAAAAGGCAAAGCTCTCGATTTACCAGTCGATCTACGTTCCTACCCTCACCTATGGTCACGAGCTGTGGGTAGTGACCGAAAGAACGAGATCGCGAGTGCAAGCGGCCGAAATGAGTTTCCTCCGCAGGGTGGCTGGGCTCTCCCTTAGAGATAGGGTGAGGAACTCGGTCATTCCGGAGGGACTCAGAGTAGAGCCGCTGCTCCTCCGCATCGAGAGGAGCCAGATGAGGTGGCTCGGGCATCTGCTTAGGATGCCTCCTGGACGCCTCCCTGGTGAGGTGTTCCGGGCATGTCCCACTGGGAGGAGGCCCCGGGGAAGACCCAGGACGCGTTGGAGGGACTGTGTCTCTCGGCTGGCCTGGGAACGCCTCGGGATTCCCCCAGAGGAGCTGCATGACGTGGCCGGGGAGAGGGAAGTCTGGGTTTCCCTGCTGAGACTGCTGCCCCCGCGACCCGACCTCGGATAAGCGGGAGAAAATGGATGGATGGATGACCACTTTATTAGGTACACCTAGCTAGTACTGTACAGGACCCCTTTTTCAGATCTGCTTCGAAGGTAGAAATAAGGCATTGTACACAGCACTGGTGTACTGAACTCTTATTTTTGCTCTTGTGAGCTTTGTGAGGTGTTTTTACCTACAGACCTGCTGCTGACTGGATGTGTTATGTTCATCACACCATCCTCTGTAAATCTTCACTCTGTAGTGGCTGTTTCAGAGATGCTGGAACAACCACGTCTGGCACAATCTGATCCTGTCTGTGCGCTTGCGAGTTGCAGCCACGTGATTAACTCAGAAATGTACCTACTAATGTGGCACTGAGTGTAGGTTAAAAGCACGTACATATCTGGGTTTCTGCGAAGTACAACGCGATGTGGATTTAGCCAGAAACGCTACTTGCACCGCGCAAAACGGCCATCCAAGTGAACGATAGAGACCCATTTCGTGGACATGTCGTTCTTTTGAAATAGTAATTTTAAGTGAATCTAAAAAAAAATGTCTTGTTTCTCGTCATAAAGAGATATAGTATCATTATAAGGACATGAGTGTCCTGACTAGAAGCGAAAAAAAAAACTATTTCGTTATAATGCGATAAGAAATTGTGGTTAAAATGAGAATGTAAAATATTTAAACGACAAACGTTTCTCCTTGTAACGGGTATGTTATGTTGATTTGTTTGCATAATTGCGGTCACGCCTTCCGTACATAGTGTACCTCTGCTGAATACTACGAGTTTCACGGTGGTGCTTTTATTCGTTGAAATCTTTGTAATGAGGCATATATGTCCCATTCCATCTTGAGAATGTTCTTCTATACCCGACCTGTAGCCACACTAAGTTTCACCCAGTTCTACAGTGGAGTTTAGCTGTCAATGTGCTCAAAATGATTAGTGTTGATTCTCTTCCGCGCCACGTGCACCCTCTACAGTCTACACACAACTTGGTACCTGCACTGAACAGCTTGTGTTTCTACTATTTGCTAATTTGTTTGCACCAACTGCTTATTTAGTACATTGTATATCTTCTGTTTCCACTTGTATCATTGCATCTTGTATAATAATTCTTAGCACAATCACTCTGACTGTGCTTCCTCTCTGCACATTAAGCCACAGAGCCATACTTTACACTTATATTCATATCTACAGTTTATCACAATTTGTTTTTAAGTTGCACCTGGTTAGATGTCAACTGCATTTCACTGGCTATGCACCTGTACTCCACACTGCATCTTATGGTCATTCAAACCTATATACTGTAGTAGCAAATGCTTCTAAATACCACTGAGCCGTCTTGAAACGTTTTTCTTGCTATGACGTGATGCTTATCTCCCCACTTACTTCATTATGGTTTGAATGGACGCCTTGAACAGTAAGTACCGATGACAGAGAGCAGTGGAGTTCCATGCCTGGCAGTGTGTGGCCCAGCCAGTTAGAACACTGTGCCCGTGATCGGAAGGTCGCAAGTTGAAATCTCCGGGTTGGCAGACTGCATCACCTTTGGGTCCTGGAGCAAGACCCTTAATTCCCAGTTACTCCAGGAACTGTCTGACCCTGCCTTCTCAGTTGTACTTCACTTTGCATAAAGACAGCTGCTAAATGTATGGACGGTATAAGTATGGACGGTATAAGTATGGACGGTATAAGTATGGACGGTATAAGTATGGACGGTATAAGTATGGACAGAGTTTGGCCGGTCGTGGAAGACTTTTCCCATGTGGTACAGTTCAGCTACAGCAGGGAGGAGGCCTGGTTTGCGCAAATTTGAACTATAATCCTGACCAAGTTTTGGAATTTTATTGTCTTTATATCACATAGGACACATTAACAAAAATTAAATATTGAGCACTTTTTGCAATAAAGATCAGATTCAGCCAATGGATATTATTCTCTCCATCTTGACTCTGAGATGCCAGCTCATAATCCTTCAACTGGGGCTAAATGCTTACTGATGATCTATATCCTTTCAGTATTGTTTTTATTCTTATCCATACATCCATCTTGATCCACTTATGCTGCTCAGGGTCGCGGGAAAGCCTGGAGCCCATTTCACACACAAACACACACACATTATGGGTAATTTAGCCCATAATTCATGTCTTTGGACTGTGGGAAGAAACCAGAGTATCTGATGGAAACAAGCGCAATGCAGGGAGATGGAGGTTGATAGTTCAGATCCGGGAAATAAAAATCCAGACCAGGATTTTGTTTCAGCCAACCAATGGAGTATGAAGAATCACAGAATACTCAACTGATTGGTTGAAACAAAATCTTGGTCTGGATTTTTACTTTCTGGACCTGAATTATTGATCTCTGTGTGGAGAACATACAATCTCCACACAGGCAAACAGTCACTTCTTTTAATACTGTTATTACGTCGGATTAAATGAATGACAACATTAATCTTTTAGTCCATCTTCCAGCAACTTATCCAACACAGGTCATTGTGTGGGGGGGGGAAGTACACACATTACAGGCAATTTAGAAACATTTGTGTAACCGGGAGTTTCTGGAGAGAAAAAAAAAACCTTATTGATAGTATTATAGAAATGCAGGTGCAGTTTTCACATTTAGCCACTAGGTGGTTCCCCAGGATATGCATGGTAACATGGCCCGACCGAGTGACGTAATGAGTAGTGTAATAAGGTCTGATATGTTAGTGTTAGTCTCCACAGAGAAGAGCTGGGCCATTGGCAGCTCCAGATGCCAAGTGCATAATATTAAGTGTAATATCTATTATTACACCTGTAAAATGTACATGTCTGTCCAGTTTCTTTATGGGAGTATGAAGGTGGGTCATTGAGAGCAAAAATCATCTGAGACCAGCAAATCGTTTTACAATGATAAGTCATTATTATGTTAGTTATTTAAAAGAAAGAACCTATCAAGTTGTAAAGAAATTGAGTACTGACATATATACCTACATCATGTCACAAATAAACATCCAGACTACATAATCATCTAATTCAGAAACTGTATCTTAACAATGCAGTTCACCAGTGTGGTTCTTATTCTATTTCTCAGCTCACTGCAACTTTATACCATATTAATCCAAAGCAAAAAGTTTATTAAACTATTTATATGAGGCAGATGCATTTTACTGTACTGCCTTTGCAGTTAGTTTGGCCTGTTCATCTCATCATTTTCGATGTGTCCCCACAACTCTGATCAGGATAGGCAGTGAAAACATGGATGGATGGATTTTGGGTAGTCGAAGTCTTGTCTTCACCACATAATGGTTTTGGGTGTTTTTAGGGGTTAAGAGACAAGCCAGTTGAGCCTACACGCTGTTTTTCTGGCACGTTTCTGTGGTGCAGTTGCATGGCGGTTGTCACATGAAAGGTGATTGATTAGGTTCCGGTGAGTCGTACTGTTCCGGGTTCTCCGCCTTCACAGCCTGAGGCTTCACTGTAGCTGGGAACTAAGGAAAACTTGTGGAAAGTTCAGGACAATCCTCACGTCAGTGCAAGCCAGCAGGATTCACAGGCAACATTAGCTCCTCCCCCTTCCTGATCCTACGTAAGCCTCAAGGGGTGTAAGTACAGCTTATAGTCGATATATTTTAAAAGTAATCATTTCTGGTTTTTCCTTACATATGCAATACATAACATTATATTTTATGTTAGGCATGGATCCCTCCATCCATTTTCTGTACCTGCTTGTCCCTTTCAGGGTTGTGGGGGTCTGGAGCCTACGGGCACAAGCCCGGGAATAACCCAGGATGGGGCGCCACCCCATTACAGGGCACATTCAGCATTCACACACACATTCACACAGATTCATTGAAAATTTGATGACTCCAGCTTTTGGACTTTAGGGGGAACCCGGAGTACTGGGAGGAACCCGGAGTACTGGGAGGAACCCGCCTCTGGTCCCTGTTTTTCCTGTATTCTCACAGATGGGCTACACTGGCTCCCCCTATAGCTGGCTTGTCTCACTGCAAGTATCCCCATATCGTTGCACTTGTCTGACTGATGAATTCATCTATCCATCTGTTTTAGTGTGGCAGGGTTGCAGTGAGATCATCCTGGGCTGGTTGCCAATACTACACACAGCACTCCCATGCAAACAGAACATACTACAGAGCCAATATATTGAATATTTACCAGGGAAATTCAAGTCGAATGCATTGCCTACGAGCAGAACAGTTGAGCTTCTGTTGATACGTGTGACCTTTGAATCTGACCCCCT